AGCGACAAAACGAAGGCGGTCGAAGTTCATGTTCGCGCCAGATGCGATGGCGACAAGCTGGCGTCTGGTGTTAGGAGATGGGTTGGCGGCAACGTATTTCTTTAAGCCGGCGATGGAAAGTGCGCCAGCGGGTTCGACGATCGAGCGGGTGTCTTCAAAGACATCCCTAATAGCAGCGCAAGTCTCGTCTGTTGTGACTTGGATAACTTCGTCGACTACCTCTTGGCAAATGCGGAATGTCTCTTCGCCGACTTGCTTGACAGCTGCCCCATCCGCAAAAAGTCCGACCTCCTTCAAGAAGACCCTCTCTCCCTTCGCCAGCGACTGGACCATTGCGTTCGCATCGTATGTTTCTACTCCAATGATTTTTACATGTGGTGCAATGCGTTTGACGTAAGCGCCAATTCCTGCAATCAAACCTCCACCTCCCACACAACAGAATATAGCTTCCAACTGTTGAAGGTTTGTCTGCCTCAACAGCTCCATTCCAATGGTTCCTTGGCCTGCGATAACGTATGGGTCATCGAATGGAGAGATGTTTGTCAGGCCGTGAAGCTTCTCCAGGCGATAGCATTCTTCCTTCGCAGCGTCGAAATCGGCCCCGTGAAGCACAACAGATCCTCCCAGTCTTGTAACATTCAGATGCTTGATGCTCGGGGTCCCCTGTGGCATGACGATGGTCGCAGGGATCTTCAGTTTGCGTGCCGAGTATGCTACGCCTTGAGCGTGGTTCCCTGTTCAAGTCAGTGCTTTGTTCATATTGGCCATTGTGGTTGTCATACCAGCAGAGCATGCAACGACACCCTTCCAGCGCGTTTGCGGGTCCAAATGTGCCATTTTATTATATGCACCCCTCAGCTTAAAGCTGAAGACGGGCTGCAAGTCTTCCCTCTTGAGTAGAACCTGGCATTCTAGCCGGTTGCTCAAGTTGGTGGCGTGAGTCAACGGCGTCTCATTGACAACTTCATAAACTCGCGAAGTAAGAATCAACCGTAAATACTACTCTTTATTAGCTTTGTTTCAACGAAACCTTTCGTGATGACCAACATCGGGATACCCAGTGGGCAATATGAAATCCAATGGCACTACACTCGTCACTTTCTCCTTCCCCTCTTCCCTCCCTTCTCTCGGCGGTGAAGGGTTGGTGGCATATTCTGTCAGAGATAAAGTTTGAACGCTAGGAGTACGCGGTATGGTGGGCGAGCCGCTGACTCCATTTGGAGTCTCCATCTCTGCCGTCATTACTTGTGGTGTTGTTCTCAATTTAGAGTTGTTGTTTTCATGGCAAGGGAGCTTTTTTGGGCTTGGAGTCTTATCGGCCATGAATTTGTATTGTGGGGTCACTGATAGGTGACTACTACCATAACTGGAGTCGGGAAAACGTTAATCCTAATACCGCGCAGAATCTCCGAGGAGCAACTGGAGTGCATAAGGCTGCGATGAGGAACGCTCTCACCACAATTCCGAGTGCGCAGCCATGTCGTCCACCAACATGCCGTCGTCCTTTGACGGAGACACGTATGTTAACCGGTATTTAAATTGAACCCGTACTGACATAGCTCAGAGAATTCTACGAATAGAACCGATGGCAGAAGCTGACCCGCCGGTTGAAAGAAGAGCCCCTCGTGCCTCTGGGTATGCGTCCAGCCATTCTACCAATGTATTGTCTAACGTTCAGTATAGGATGTGCTCTTACGTGTTAGGCACTTTACCATGCCTCTAAATCAATACGCTCCGGCGACCAACAACGCACGAACCGGATGTTCCGCGCCCGTATCTACGCCCAGGGTTTCACAATCGTCGCCATGGTTGCTGGCTCAATGTACTGGAAATCCGACCGCCAGAAGCGCAAGGAATTTGATAGGTGGTGGCAGAGCGCAAGGCGAAGGAGAAGAACGATCTGTGGATCAAGGAGTTGGAGGCGAGAGATAAAGAGGAGAAAGAGACCAGAGCTGAAAAGGAGAGAAGATCGAAGCGTTTGTCTGATAGATCTGGAAAAGGATAACAATTGAAGGTGCTTAATGGAGGAAAGAACCCGATATTAGCGCAGGTCAGAGCAGCGGAAGGGAAGGACAGCGAGGATGCAAGCTCGGTGGTTGATGGGAAGGAGAAGAAGCAGAAGTCAACTCTGGAATCTGTGAAGGAGATGATCATGGGGAAGAAGTAAAGGTGAGGGGAAGAAACCTTGTTGTATATATATAAGTGGCAGTGGGACGGATATATCTGGCGTTGGGGCTGGATTTGAGGGAATGGAATGTAATGGGAGAACAATGTACAATAACTGAACTCAACCTACTCACAGCAACGCATCAAGCATCTAAATCTTGTAACATGATTCTTCCAAATCAGTCACCGGGTTTATATTGCCTTAGAAGGAGCTATGTGTTGTCGCAAGTGTTTCATTGGTGATATTATTACAGAGCATAAGCTAATGTTACGTTGTGTAAAGCTCAAACAGCCACAATGAAAAAGTCTCATCCCCCCACGCAGTAACAATTAGCCATCAGCTCACATTCCCAACTGGCAAAGAGTAGCAAAATTCATAAAGCCCTCCACTGCATAGTAGCAGAGAACGTGCACCGTATCCAGCGTTACAGAAATCCTGCATCTCGAAATCCTGACATGATTATAGTGATTCTTTGCTCCGGGCCTCAGGAGAAGATCTAAGAGCGAAATCGTGACATGATTATAGTGATTCTTTGCTCCAGGCCCCAGGGGAAGATCTAAAATTCTGCTACTTAGTGAGGCCTTGGTCTCGGGGGCTGAAGCCTTGGTGATCGGGGTTATGGGCTTAGACCTTGGGGCCGAGGCCGTAGTGTTTGGCGTTGAAGCCTTTGAGTTTTTTGGCTGCCCTCGCCCTTTTTTGTACCCATTGCAAACTGAGTTTTAGTCTTTTTAACGGTAATGCTGTAGCTCTCCGCACCACTGTTTTCCGCAGGTGTGATCGTGCATGTATGTTGAAAGCCCCCCTTGGTGATCTGAAGCAACTGGTATGTTTTGTAATGGGCAATACGGCTCTCAGTCCCGAAAGCGAACTTCACGCTCTTAGCCGTAGGATCTTCCGTGAAAGCAGCGAATTTCAGACAATCTTTGCATGTACAGCCAGGATCTTCTTCTCGCGATTCTTTCGGACTTATATATCGAGGCTGAGGGCGCACATGCTGGGGCTCACAGCTCTTGTCTTGATACTTCGGAAGATGAAGGGCGAGCTGTTTCCGAATCGTTGCTGCTACCTGGTGTGCCATCATGTAAAACTGTATGTGTATAGGGTCATTTATTTGTCCTGGAGGCACCTCGTCAAGTTCTTTCAGGAGCGGAAGAGAAAATCCCTCGATGGTGGCTGCAGACTGTGCCACCGCCAGCGTGTCTAGCGTGCCAAAAAGCATGCCCATGTGCTGTTCAAGTCCTAGGGAAACGCATTGGTGAATAAGTCGCACAATATCACATCCCTGAACAGGCATTGAGAAACGCTTCCCCCCCTCGTGTCCAGGTTGAAGAGGGGCAACCTTGATAAGGGGAATGAAAACCTGTAGAATGCAATGGAATACATGTCGAGCAACTTTATTCCCAATGTTGCCTCTCCTCTGGCCGTCGGTAATAACTGTCAGGAAACGAAACACAGCTGCTGACTTTGGATGACTCAACCGTTCAGCATTCTTAATATGAAGGGTAACGGCAGGCAATACTCTGTTGTTGGTATGGATCAGCATTGGACTAACACGGAGCTTGACAGAGAGCTGCAATCTTATGTTTCCTTGAGGTATGTTTCGCCACATATAATAACAAATTTCGCGGTATTTGCACCATCTGCTGCAAACCTAAGCTGCCTCTCCACGAACGTCTGCTCTGCGCGAGGCTTCATCCAAGTTACTGTGTTCGCCAACACCACGGAATCTTTACATTCTACACAATAATCGTAGATTCCAATGAACGTTTTGAAGTCTTTGTACATGTGCTTAAAACGACGAATGGTTTCATCGAGACTACACATGGTCAGCTATTTTCATAGTTTCATATTTTGGAGAGAACATACTCGCACAGCAGTTTGTAGAAGCCAAAATGCTCCAAAGCGTCAACTACTGCAGACACTGGAACCTTGGCTCTAACTATGAAAAGAGCTTCACTGCAAAGATTTTGGTCATCCATGGATATGCCGCCGCGAATGACCGTTCCAAGTAGAGAATCCCTCATAGAAACAGATCTCTGAGAATCGGTAGCGTCAGTGATAGTGGTGTTCCGCCAATGATTTGCGTCTTCGAGAACAAGTTGACAGGCTCTCTTCAAGTCAACCTCCACTAATTTCCGTGTGAATCAATACAGGACCCAGTCAATTTCCGTATCCAGTCGCTCATTGCTGATACTGACGATTTGACAGATTCGAAATATAAATCAACGCAGGATTCCACTGGCATGAGGACCACAGCCTAAAAATCAGTATTGATTCACACATATGTTACTAGAATGTAAAAGTATCAAAGATAACTTTAACTTACAAATCGGCGATACACCTGATGTAGCGCAACCCTCCCCGTTGCTGATGTAGCTCGAGGTGTTTTCAGTGTTGAAAACATCACTCAGATTGGTCTGCACAACTTGAGATGCACTCCAAGGGACCATGTCAAGCACTATGGTGCCATCTAGCTTTACGAGGTCCTGAAGTTCGAGGAACTCTTCAGCCGGACCCTCGTGGCTTTCCCTTATGACCCGCAGCGCAAGTTTTGCGAGACAGAGAGAGAACCCATGCTTTGAGCACAGTTCAGAAAGAACATTTACCCTCTGGTTGTCATCTCCTTCGAGAACAGTATGCGACAAACTATGTCCGTCATACATGTTGTCTAGGGTGCAAGCCAGGAACTTTGCGGATGATGTGATCAGTTCAGCGTAACTGTTCTTCCAGAACAGAAACACAGATTCCAACAGATCCATCTTATTCTCAAGCGAAACAGGTATATTTACCTTGTCTCTGGAGTCAAGATCTATCTGTTCGTACATAAGTACAAGTCGATGCCCCAAAGCCACTTCCGTGAGTTCACACGTCATATCTGTGTACCTAATTAACAGTTACTATCAGAACGAAAATACGATCATTCAATTTAGTAGATACGTCAAACCAGAAGAGATACTGATAGCCAAAGGCAGATTGCGGTGCCATGGAGAGGACCTTGACCTGATCATCATGCGTGACGATCAAATCTCCGCCCTCATGTTTCCATGGCAAGCATATTGCCAAGGTGCCAAACACCCCTGGCCCCCTTTGGATCTAATGGGCATTACGTGTTAGCAAGATAATCAAATAATGAAAGTTTCATCGATGGTGGGTTACGCACCCCCGATGCTCTGAGAGCATATCTCCTGGCCCATAGAGTGTCATATTGAATGGCCGAAACCCGACGTTGGCTGGACCACCAGGTACTTTGAGTCTCTTGGCCACTTTTGCGACAACTCCTTCTACGGCTTTTTCCCACCCGGGGTCTGTCGTTTCTAACTGATGAGGACTGAGTTCGGTGATGTTGATCTCAGTGAGGTCCACGACGGCATTGCTCATTTTCGTATCCGGGTACGGAGGTGGACTCTTGAATTTAGCAATAAGCCCGGCATCTCTCTCGGACAGTGGAAGACCAATTCTAACCCATAGATTGTCAGGGCGGGATTGATCATTTTAGGACATGGCCCTGAGAGTGCAAAATGTTTGCCCCATGGCGGAAGGTTCTCCAGAGGAGGCATGTTCATCCGAAGTCAAGTTAAGGATCGCCTTGTTCAGCTTCTCCTTGATGGTGGTGAAGATTGGGGCTTCTGCTCCAAAATTAGTTACGGAAAAACAACACAGTATAATAAAGAATTTACCGACTTCTCGGGAAGCATTCTCAGCAATGTCTGGCCTGTCGTTTTTACGTGGATACTGGGCGAGGGCTTGAGTTTGCACACTGGGGGCATTGGAGTTGTTCTGCCTCAGTGTTTGAACATCTGGCAAATTGTTGTGTCTCGACAGCCCAACCCCAAGTTCAATTCCATAAAGGTCCGCATCAGGATCTGCCTTAAGGCTGAGCTCTCTGAATCTCTCAAACTCGGGCTCGGGTTTCAAAGGTCCATTGGCAGTAGTTGTGTCACCGTGACCAACACGTGTACGTTTGGTGCTGGGCTTGGTCTGCACTACATGTAGACGAACAAAGCTGTACCCAGGGTTGTACATTCCGTAATCCTCTGTGGAGGTACGGGATCTGGAAATGCCGCCTTGGTCATCGGACTCCCCGTCGGAATCCCGCTCTCTCTTCATGATCAGTTGTCTTTGTCCATGGAGTGTTCGCGGGTGTGTTGGGGTTGAAAGGTAAAGAGGGTTGAGGGTGTGTTGAGGTTGAAAGGTGGGGAGGGTTCGAAGGTGAGTTGGGGTTGAAAGGAGAACAAGGGAGTTGCGTTGCCTCTGGTTACGAAGTGTCCAGAGGGTTCGCGATTGTTGACAAGATAGATAAAAGGGCTGCCTATGAATATAAGGTGTTCAGAGACTTCGGGTTGGATGTGAAGTAAAGAAAGAAAGAAAGTGTTTGGTAAATGGAGGTGGTTCGGTAAAGGAGAAGTTTGGCGGTAAATGCAGGAACGCGTTTTGGTAAACGTGCGTTTGTGAGGTTAGGTGCATCAAGTGAGATTGTGTTGAATTTGACGCGTTGTGTTGTAGACGCGTTGCGTTGGGGAGAGCTGCCTCAGGAGTTCTCCTCTGGGTAAAAAAAAAAGGGGGGGGGGGGTGAGACTGGGTGAATTTAACGCCTCGTGTGTAGACACGACACTCACGCAGCCTTGGGGAAAGGTCATACCAAAAGCCGACTACTTAGTCCAGCTAGCTCCTGAGTATCCATCCATTGAGATCCTATCTATCTAACTACGGGAGTCTAGTCACCACCTCGTCCATAACCCCCTCTTCAATGGCTTCCAGACAACCCATCAGCCAAAGAAATGAGTGCCACGGAGATTCCACACCATGCCATATGTCATTTTCCCTGTTTTTGGACGCCGCCGCAAACTCCCACTGCTCCCCAAAAAAAAGACAAACCCCGCAGCCACATGCAGCCACATGCACAAGTGTCTCCCCATCCCATGCCGTCCACCCCTCCACCCAGCTAAATGCACCTCATCACCCCCACTCAAAGCGCCTCCTGCCCCTTATAATGCCCCGCGATCAAAAACGCCATCTCAAGCGCCTGTTTCTCATTCAGTCTCGGATCGCAATAACTCGTATAATTGGTCCCTAAATCCTCCTCATTCAGCCCCTCACTCCCGCCCATACACTCCGTGACCGCCTCGCCCGTGAGCTCCAAGTGCACCCCGCCCAGGTAGCTCCCCTCGTTCTTATGCACCTGCAGCGTCTTCTGCAGCTCGGAGAAGATATCCCCAAACACCCTTGTCTTGATCCCGCTCGGCGTCGACCGCGTGTTCCCGTGCATCGGGTCGCATTGCCAGACTACGCAGCGCTTGTACTCGCTCGACTCGACGGCGCGGATGTGGGCCGGCAGCAGCTCGGACACCTTGGACGCGCCGTAGCGAGTGATGAGGGTGATTTTGCCGACCTCGCAGGTGGGGTTGAGGGTGCGCAGGAGGGCCATCAGGTCGGTGACTGAGGTGGTTGGGCCGATCTTGACGCCGATGGGGTTGGCGATGCCGCGGAAGTACTCGATGTGCGCGCCGTCGATCTGGCGGGTGCGGTCGCCGACCCAGAGGAAGTGAGCGGAGGTGTTGTAGTAGGCTTTCTTGCTTCCGGTGGCGGAGGAGTCGGCCTCGGGAGCGGGGACGGTGGAGGTGGTTTTGCTGGGGATGGGGAGCTTGCGGGTTAGGCTCTGCTCGTACTTGAGGAGGAGGCCCTCGTGGCTGGTGTAGAGATCGACGGTCTGGAGACCGGCGGAGGACTCTGCGCCAACGCCAACAGCGCGCATCATGCGGAGAGTGCCAGTGATTGAGTCCACAATGGCCGTGTACTTGGCCTGCAGCTCTGGGTCCTGGACATGTCCCAAGCCCCAGTCCAGCGGGCGATGCAGATCCGCAAAGCCACTCGCCAGGCTGGCCCTGACGAAGTTGAGCGTCGCGGCAGAATGAAAGTATGCACTAGAATCCCATCAGTTCACATCCACATCACCCACGCCACGCCCAGTTCAAACTCACCTCTTCAACCTCTCCGGATCCAAATCCCTCTCCCCACCATCAAACCCATTCAAGATATCCCCCCTAAAGCTCGGAATCTCCTTCCCCCCCACCATCTCCATCGGACTACTCCTCGGCTTCGCATATTGCCCCGCCATCCTCGCAATCCTCACGACCGGCTTATTGCACCCGGAGATAAGCACCAGACTCATCTGCAGCAGCAGCTTGATCTTACTCTCAATCGCGCCATCCTGGCAATAATCGAACAGCTCCGCGCAATCGCCACCCTGGAGGAGAAACGCATTTCCCTGTGCGACGTCGCGCAGCTTGGCTTTGAGATTCTCGATCTCGTTGGGGGTGACCAGCGGCGGGAGACGGGAGAGGTTGGCGAGGACGCGCTCGACGGCGGGGCGGGAGGCGTAGATGGCGTCTTGCTTGATGGGTTTGGCGGTCCAGGAGGAGGGGGACCAGGTGGCTGAGGGGCCGCTGGCGGCGGTGGTGGTGGGCATGGCGGTGTTTGTGGCACTGGCGGCGGCGACTTTGATTTCTTGCGTTGGCTGGGCTGCTGCGGGGGGTTGAGGGATGGAGACCATTTGTGCGGTTTGTAATTGCATGTGTTTGGAGGTGAATATATCCTGAAATATAGTGTAATAGAGAAAGGAAGATAGTATGGAAGAAGTTATAAGTTGAAATCCAAGAAACCCAAAATCAATTCCAAAGTTCAGCTCTCTTGTTGTTCACAGGTGACTCAATGCAGTGAAACACACAACGACAACTCAGCTCCCACAAATCTCGGGCAGAAAACCCTCACCGCCCACGCCAAGCAACCACCCCACCAACACCTACACATCCCTGACGACAAATCCATCCATCACTCGTAACTTTAACCTCCCGCTTTTAGTTTACCTTGCCCAAATCACAACAACCACCCACGCCGTCTCACAAAACTCACAATACCCCGAAACCACCACATTCCACCGAACAGCACACCACCCACGACACAAAATGACAGACCCCCAACCCCCAACCCTAACCCCCGGCCCCACCCCCACCGGCGACATCTCCGACGAACTCCGCCCCGCGTCCGCGGAAGACCGCAAGGCAGCCGCTGCGCTCTCGTCTCTCGATACGCCGCGCGACGACGATAATGGGGGCGGGGGGAAGCAGAATGTGGATGTTGAGGCGGTGAGGAAGGCTATGGATCGTCTTGGCGAGGGAGGGGCGCGGGGGAAGGAGGGGGAAGGGGTGGGGCGGAAGAAGGAGGAGGTGAAGAGGGTGGTTAAGGTTGAGGCGGGGGATGTTAAGGTTGTGGTGAGTTGAATCTTGAGGGGAGGTGGGATGGAAGTGGGCGGGAGGGGATAATGACTAACGGGGACTAGATTGAGGAACTCGAGCTCTCGAAACCGAAAGCTACGGAGCTGTTGAAGGCGAATGATGGGGATCTTGTTAAGGCGCTGCGGGCGTTTGTTGCTGTTTGAGTACTGGAAGCGAGTTGACGAATGGGCTGAGATGGGTGGAGGATAGCTGAGCCGTGGCTTCCCTCGAGTCTACGACCGCGTGAGGAAGGCGTTGTGAGGTAAATGCACACAAAGTAGGCGCAGGAGACGCAATGAGCCGGGGATCCCCTGCGATAGCTGGGGAGTGTGATGAAGGATATGAGGACACGGATATCAAGGCGGAATCAAGCTGCCAAATAGGGGAATTATATGTGACGGAACGTAAATGAGAGATGTCATGAACACCAACCTCTCACCTTTTTTTTCACACGTGAGAACCAATAGTCATGTATACCACAGAACATCCCGACTCCATACACCAAACATACTCTATTCAAGGGTATTAAAATATCGAATTAATCTTTCCTTTTCCCTCCGCCCGCTTCCCTATGCCCCAATATCCCCAAAATCCCCCTGTCCCCGATATCCCCCTATACCCCCGCCGTTATCCAACCCCAACCCCAACTCAACCAACCCCAAACCCACACTACTTGGACAACGAGAGCTTCTAGCTCGAATCATCATCTGACAGCTCTTCAAATCGTCCTTCTTGCTGCATCGTCCGCATCGGGTTCTCGGCCTCGATGATGCCGTTCTTTTGTAATCTATTTCACCATTAAGATTAGCCGCCACTCCTCATACAAACCACAAAATGGATATCCCATCAACCCCCCCTTCCCCAAGGATAGATGGTATGGATAAAACGAAATAAAAAGGGGACTAACCGATCAAACATAACCATCAACCTCTCCGCCTCCCTCTCCTTCTCCTCCCTCGTCATCGTCGGTCCCTCCCAGGGCTCCTCACTCTCCAGCGTCTGCCCCGTAATCGGATTCACCGGCTTCCCGCCCACCATCCCAAACGTCCTCACGCTCGAACTACTACTCCTCTCCCCCACTCTGCTTCTCCCGCCCATACTCGCCGAATCATTGATACTCCACGCATCCAGCGCATTTTCAGGGATAGGCACGTTATTCTGGAATAAAAAGCCCGAGGCGAAGCCGTACCCGACGTTCTGGACAAAATTCTTGGCGTCCTTGTCGCTCATCTCGAAGAGGAGGTGTGAGAGCTCTTCGCGCGCGGTCGGGGCGAGGGGGGAGGTGGACAGCTTCAGGATGCGCGAGGAGAGGGTATTCGTGGCGCCTAGGGGCTTCAGCCGGTCCTCTGCCGTCGGGAGGAGGACGCGGAGGTGCACCTTAACAGGCCGCGGCGCGACGGCGTAAATCTTGCGCAGGACAGACAGCAGGGGGGAGACCTGCTGCTCGAGGTCGCGCTCCGGGTAGGCAGCCGTGGCGAGGTCGAGGAGGTTGACGAGGCGCTCGACGTGGATCTTTGGGTCGGAGCGGGGGAAGAGGTGGGACTCGGCGAGGTCGAGGGGGAGATTGATGAGGGCGCTGATGAGTTGGGCGGTGGGGGGTTCCATGGGGCCGGTGGGGGCGACGGCGCGCTTGAGGAGGAGGCGCATGATGGAGGGGATGGCGGGGACGAAGGCGGAGGCGCGCTCGCGGCAGAAGTGGGTGGTGTTGAAGAGGAGCTTGAGCGTTTCGGCCAGGGACATGTCTTCCATCGGGTCCGGCTCGGTGGATTCGGGGTTCTTGGCGTTCTTCTTGCTTTCCTTCTCCTTGGCCTTCTTCTCCTTCTTCTCCCTCTTCTCCTTGTCCTTGGTGGACATGGACGAGGCCGAGGAGGGGTCGCTCTCCTTCTTCTCGATCTTCTGCACCTCGTCGTACTGCTTGGCGTGGCGCGCGATGTTCTGGTTGACGTTCTCGGCGAGATGGTGGTTGTCGATCAGGTTCTCGAGGTCTATGTTACCGCCGTATGTCGTGAGGAATATGATGCGTGAGACGAGGAATTCGTCTTCGCGGTTGTCGTTGCTGAGTCGCTGACATAGCTTCATCTCGTAGTGTAGGTCGACGAATATGGCTCGCGACGAGGCGCGGAGGAGGAGTGCGTTCGCCAGGCAGCGCAGCGCATTGCGGGACGTTGTGAAGGAGGGACTGTTGAAGGCGTGGCGGGTGAGTGTTTCGATTCCCTGGTGCATTGGGATTAGCATGTAGGACAGAAGTGCAATTGCGCCAACGTACCTCTTGGGTGAAGATGGGCTCGGCGTCCACCGGATCTCGACCGTACATCTTCAGCTGCTCGAGGGCCGCGTCTCGCTCTGTATCCGTCAGCCTCGTGGAATCCACGTCGACCTCTACGTCTTGCTCACGATGTGGCAGCATGCAGATCTTCTGCAGGTCCAGCGTCAGCTTCTCGAGGAGGCGCTTCACTTCGGCGAGTTTTGCTGCGACAGCTGGTTAGCCCGTAGGTCAAAGGTAGGATGCGTCAGAGGGCAACGTACCTGCGCCTGTCAGCAGCGGCGGAGGGGCCTTCGCCGACACGCTCTTTGAGGATCTCATTTCTGAGAGGGTATACACAAAATGGAATGAATGTGTTGACTCAATCGCCCATGATTATATAGCACAGGTCGGAGGAGGAACGAGGCTGGGATGATGGCTCCGGATGATACAGGGCGATGCAGAGTGATGCAGGGTGTGATGGAGGCTGAGCTTCAATTCGTAGGCCATGTATGTGTGAAGTGTAGTCGAGAGTTGGCCGCCGGGGGGGGGGTAGGAGGAGGAGGAGAAGGTAGGAAGGAGAGGAGGGAGGGAGTGATTTCTTGTACGGAGTACGGAGTATGTGTGGCACTCTTGTGTGTGTGTGGCTGGTGCATGTGTGGTTACGTAGTTGTCAAATCCCCCATCCCCGTCAAGTTTCGCCAACAGTAGTTGACGAGAGTGGGTCAAACAAACACCTTCCCCTCGTGAAATCGTGAAGAAAGAAATTTCTCTTTTGTTGTCCACGAAAACATAACCCCACCCCGACAAAACATCGAGGCCGCCCAAACAATGCCTAGAGATTCATACACCGACGACGCACCGTCCCGGTCAGACCTGCGCTGGGACGCCGAGCGAGGAGACCGCGACCGCGACCGCGACCGCAGGCCCGGCCGTCCCTCCCGCCGGCGCGACCACTCCGCCTCCAGCGACGATGAGTTCGTCTCGCGTCGCGGTCCTCCTTCACGGGCAGCTTACGAAGATGACTACGTGCGTGTGCGCGAGGTTTATCGCGATGACCCCCCAAGAGACCTTCCCGTTAGGACCAGGACGACTGTCGAACGCCAGGTGGAGCGGGAGCGGGAGAGGGAGTACTACCGCGACCCGAGCCCGGAGCGGGAGCGTGCTCGACGACCGTTCAGGCCCGCGAGGCCGAGTATGTTGAGACGGCAGAGTAGTCTTGATACATTCGACCGCCAGCCGACGATGCCACGGTACATGCAGAGGGAGGAGGCCGGGCCGTTGGCTGTGCGACGCGGTGAGAGGGAGGGTGAGGAGGATAGGGCATACCCCCCGGAGCGCGTCAGGGAGAGGGAGGTAGTCCGCGAGAGACGGCGGAGTAGGAGTCGTAGCTTGAACAGCACGTCGAGCTCGGAGTCCTCGCAGGCGAGCACGGTGAGGACGGGGAAGAGCCGGTTTCCGAAGAGGGGGAAGACGAGGATGCCGGCGAGGATGGTGAGTAAGAGGGCTATTATTGAGTTGGGGTATCCGTTTGTGGAGGAGGTGAGTGTGCTGTTGTCCTGTCCTTTGTTGGGGGGGGTCGAGAGAGAGACGTGGGCTAATTCGGAGCAGGACACGACGATCATTATCCAGAAAGCTCTTGGGCGAGAACACATTGATGAGGTCCTCCAGCTCAGTGAGAAATATAGGAGGGAGATAAGTACGTCGCAATTCTTACCTCACCATCTCCCATCCACCCACCCACCTTCTCTGCCCATCCATTCCACCAACATAAAGCCATCCGAGTCCCTACTAACCATCATTCCCAGAAACCGAACACGTCGACAAAATCGTCGAAGAAACACACACGGAGACAATCTACACCCCACCCCCCGCCCCCGCCCCCATTCCTCCCCCCGTCCAGCGACCGCTTTATTCTCCTCCCATCTACGCACCTCCCGCAGTAGTAGAACAAAGAATCTACTCCCCCCCGCCAGTCCGCCACCAAGTCATCCACGTCCCTACCCCCCCGCCCCCCGCACCAATCGATTACTCCCAAACCCCCGAGATAATCCAAGTCGACCCCCCGCGCTCTCGCTTCCCCCCCACCCCCTCTACCGACCTCGTCACCACCACATCCGCCACCATCTACCAAGAGCGCTACGGCAGCCCCCGCCCCCACCCCCACCATCACCATCGGAGTCGCAGCATGGGTCCCACGCCGCGGCACGTCGAATCCAGCCTCGCCTTAGCGCCTATCCCGGTGTTTGGGTCGGGGCATCGACATCGCCATCCTAGGTATGAGGGGGAGGGACGGATTGTGAGGGTTGAGCACATCCGGGACGCGGATTATAGGCGCGGAGAGGAGGGGGAGCTGGTGCTTTATGAGAGGGGGGAGGAGGTGGTGGATCCGGTGGCGGCGGTGAGGAGGGATCGAAAAGGTAGGATGAGTCTTGTTGTTCCGAAACGGTATCGCTGAACTGAACTGCCTGGCTGCTTTGTGCGGGCGGCGGTGTGGTGGCGGTGCTGTGGTGCTGTTGTGGTGTCTTTTTGAAGGGCCTGCGCTGACTTTGTTTGGGCAGGCCCGAATCCGAGGGCTGTTAGGGCGATGATGAGGTTTGTTACCTGATGTTGGGGTTGGGAGGGGAGGGAGGGATGTTAGTTGGGGTTGGGAGGGGAGGGAGGGATGTGAGTTGGAAGGAGACGAGGGAGGAGTGCTAAAGGGAGGCTGTTGGGGGCGTGGGAAGGATTTATGGTTTTGTTCTCTCCGTAGGGAGGATATACTCGGGAGGATACACTCTATATAGCATAGTACGTACTATAAACGGCCGCCTCTACCATACTGCACTGCACGGCTCCTAGTGAATTAATTCATGGGCAAAAGTTGTATATACCCGGTAAGTTCATAAATAAGTTTTATATACCATGGTGATTCTTACTAAGCAGGAAACCACTCAACGCGCTCGGCGCGTTGCCTCCCTCCCTTGCGTTACCTCCCTCGCCGTTGCTCCCCCTCGCCGTCGCCCTCCTCGCTGTCCCAGCTGACTCGCTAGCCGCTGCCCTCACTGAGGCACTCGACGACTCTTCGGAAGCCCTCGCTCAGGCCCACGAGGATGGCTTCTCTTGGCGAGCTGACCGTTCCTATGAACGGTCAGCTCTACCTCGACCTAGACGCCTGGTCGAGAGCCCTTAACGACTGGGCCGAATGAGGCCGTCGAAAGGAGCGACAGCGAGGGGGCGACGGCGAGGGGGCTACGGGGGACTACGGGGGGGGGGATTGGGGGGTTTTTACTGGTCGCAAAGGGTTTCATATTATGTAGGGTATATAAAACTTGGGCAAAAACTCCATCTACCCGGTAAAAACCCAAATAAACTCTATCTACCCGGTCGATTACCACGTGACCATCCACCACCCAATCCACCCGTAAATCCCCCTGTTCTCATATGAGAACAGGCCGTAAACCCCCCATAACTCCCCCCGTAACCCCCCCTGTAAACTGACCTGTTCTCATATGAGAACAGGTCAATTGTGAGGCCTGCGGCAAGTCCTGGCATTGTGCCCAGGCTCGCCGCAGGTGCCGCAGCGTGTACGGACCAAGTCCGGCACGGCGGCAACGACTGCCCCAAGCGGCAGAAGTCCTCCATGATCCCGTCGTTCCTGGCGTCCTCGAGGACGCCGGGCATCTTCCCTCCGAACCCTCTCTTTTCGGGGACGGCCTCGGGGGATTCGGGTGACTGGGGGGTCACAGATTCCTCCTAAGGCGTCAGGGTCTATCGAAAGACCCTCGACAGAGACAGGAGGCAGAGGCAGTTCATACTGCCTCTGCCAGCACGCGGCAGACAGCTCTGTCGGAAGAAAGGGAGTCAATTGACTCCCTTGTCGAAATATAAGAGTCATGGCGTGCCCACAAGGCACGCCATTCTCTTGGTATCGACGGCAAGAACAAGTTCTTGCCGTCAGGTCAACGAGGTAGATCCTGCCATTTGGCTGGACTACCCGTGCCTCTGTTAGGGAGGATATCTGGAGCCCATTGCCATGGGCCCAGTTCCTCCCCTCCTCCACCAACCTAGTGAGGAGAGGAGGCCATTGCCCTTTAGCAATGGCCTCCACAGCCAAAAGAGAGCGCTCCGCACGCTGGGCCATCACCCGGTGCCAGAGCGCATCGAGAAGCTCCACGATTGGGAGCTCTCGATCTGTGCGGATGAGCTTATTAAAGCTCTCTGCAATATTTGAAGTATCGTGGCCGTATCGACGGCCACGAAACTTCGCCAGAGCCCACCGTTCGGGCTCGGCACCATAATGTTACGACGGAACAAGAAGGCTGGCCAACTACAGGACAGGAAGGAGGGAGGTCGCATGAGACCGGCCCTGGTACCTGGAGGGGCAGCGGGGAATAGTAGTTCTGAAAGTATCACGTGACGGACTCGCAGGATGATGAGAAGAGTCCTAAGAGTCCAGGACTCCGAGGACTCGAGTGAGTTCCCAGGAGTCCACTAGGCACGTGACGGACTCGCAGGATGATGAGAAGAGTCCTAAGAGTCCAGGACTCCGAGGACTCGAGTGAGTTCCCAAGAGTCCACTAGGCACGACGCCACTATATAAGTAGATAGTATTTCCTTACATAGGAGCTTCGTGCTCAACTCAATACAGTATTTGTTATATACTAGTAACGTGTTACTTGAAGCCTTTGTGTCTGATCCCCTGCCTCCTCTGATAAGTAAACCTTTACGCAAGAGAACCTCTGTGTCTTCTATCGTTTAGAAGTCAGCGTTACACATAAAGGTATGCTGATGCTTCGGGCTTTAAAGCCCGAAGCTCCTCCAAAAGCCCGTCGAATTGGGCCACAGTTGTGGCCCGGGCAATCTTCCAGAAGAGGGGTAGAAGGCCCCTCCCAAACCGCTCTGAGAAATTCTCAGAGAGGTGACGACAGCAATGAGCTATCACCACCTGCGGAGAGAGAGTTCTCTCCGCAATAAGAAGCCCCTTGTCTCTATCAGAGACAAGGGTGCTTGGCTCGCTCACGAGCTCTGGGAGGGACCACTTGAGGTGGTTCAAAAACCACTCCCAAGAGTCCGCGTTCTCCGACTCGGCCACTGCCCAAGCAAGTGGCACAATGTGGCCGTTAGCATCAATGCCAACGGCCACAAGAAGAGTAAGGATGAAACGGGCCTTTAAGAAGGTCCCGTCCACTGCAACAAGCCGGCGTGAGGCTTGGAACGTGGCCCTGCTCTCCGCAGGGCACACAAAGATCCGTTGGAATCGGTCGTGTCGATCTCGAACGAGATCAACATGAACTCCTAGAGCAGATGCTTCCAGGAGGCGCTTATATGAGGGCAATAGCTGAAAGCTATGCCTCTGCGCTCCAATATCCCCTACGAGAAGGCGTAGCAACGATTGCTGCGCCCTCCCGTAGAGAATCCCCTCCGCGAATCGAACGCGGAGGAGCTCAACAATCTCCCTTGGCGTGGTCTTCTTCGACACCCGTAGGTGTCGAGAGACCACGCCGTCCAGCCATTCTGCCTTTGAGGAGGAGGCAAACTTCTGCTGCCCCCTCCCCACGCAAGTGTGTGCCCCCTCAACGACGACGAGCTTCCATTGCTCGTCGTCAGGGCTGGCTCGGACACGCCAGGCACAGCCCTCCTCGGGACAAACGGCCGTTGCCCGGTCTTTGTCCCTCCTCTGGAGCCGCCAGGAGAACTTCTCCTTGACGGCCCAGTCGTCTAGGGCGCGGGACCAAGCGTCTAAGTCGAGGAACTCGCTGCCGTCGACAGGGACAGCGAGTTCGGCCAGCGAGGCCATCGTCAGATGCGGGGGCGGGGGCGGGGAGGCGGGAGTTTGTGCCTCGCGCGAGGGCTTCCGAGGGGGGTTTCGAGGGGTCAGAGGAGCGAGGGAGAGAGAGATCCTAGGAGGGGTCAGCGGGGCTCTAGATGGAAGGGTGAAGAGGTGTAATGGTGGGTGCACCAGATGTGAGAATCTAGCCACCCAAGGAAGGGATGAATTTACTAAGACAACACACTGTCTTAGAAAACAGAGCCAAAGGGTCGTAGCTTAGACTATTCCACAACGCAGCAATCAGCTGTGTGATGTAGTGAAGTGGTTCAGACAAGTTGCAACAAATGTTGAGTCTGGGAACTCAGGGGTAAGTCAGAGGTTAACACCTCACTGACTTTTCAGAAACAAGGAGTAACAAGATGAATGCTTGGAAGGTTGGAAAAGACGTGGAAGTATGTGATAGTCGATTTACTGTATTGTCTGCTTGCCCTTTCTTAAGGAAAGGGCAATCCTATTTATGCTAAAGGAGTGTAGTTCTCTCATTTTCCAAGACTTTCCATGACTTACCAGGCTTGGTAACTGTAGTCGACGTAAGAGAATCCCATAGAACCATCTCTTAGGTTCGTAGCCTATAGGAAGTAAAAGGAGGTCCAAGGTCAGAGTACCCCTATAGACAAATTATGTCATAGACAAATTATGTCATAGACAAATTATGTCATAGACAAATTATGTCATAACTTAACCAATCTTGTGGGTAACTAAAGAGCGATGACATGTAATGAATCATAGAGGTTCGTAGGAGCTTTTAGAGCTATCGTTCATGCTCCTAGGCCTCTAGTTGGTAGAGATATGTCATGTGGTAGTATGAGTGATGTCATGTAATGAATCATAGAGGGTTGTAGAGATATGCTATGTGGTAATATCGGCCCAGTAACTAAGGAGCGATGACGTGTAATGAATCATAGATGGTTGTAGCAATCGTTGAGTAGTATTGCTCTTGTTGTTGGTGTGATAAGCCAAAATATGTATAGTGACTTGTAGGTTTGAGGAGGAGATTTCCAAGTTTGCTCTTGACTTTGATAGCAAACTGAGTGCAACGAATGTCAGTATGACAAGAGGGAGGAAAGGAGCTTCGGGGGTCTCAATTAACCCCCGACTTACCGTACAATTGAGTTGGCAAGTGTTGCCAGCTCAATTGTTTCGAAAAGGCCACATGAGAGTACGTGCTCTCATTGGCCTGTTGCGGGTTCCGAAAGGGGATAAGCGCTTGCCGGGTAGATGGCGTTTTTTCACCTTTGTACCGGGTAGATGGAGTTTTTGCCCATAAAACTTATCACGTCAAATGCAGGGTATATAAAACTTTTGCCCTTAATTCATAATGATAACTTAATCTCCAATCCTTGACTCGACCACCCTTCCAACCCGTCCCTCCCCTCCCGTCCCTTCCCCCCCTTCCCTACCCTCCCGTCCCTCCCCTCCCATCCCTCCCCTCCTCTCCACCAACAGCACCTACGGAGGTGTTGTTCATAAGTTTTGTGAGTGGGTCGGGCTAGGGCCCCCTGCGTAGGCTGGTTTGGCAATTCTGGCCAAAGTACCGATTCTCACGCGTCACGAACACTTGAGTGTGAGAGCAATCAATTCTGTAGAATAATGAGTAGAGTAGATACCTAAACCCCTATATAAAACTATACTATAAGCCTAGTACTCTGTGTGCATACCATTTGCAGCAATTACTGCTGCCATACGTGTAGGCATACTATTAAGGAGAGCATTAAGCTCAGCTTCTCCAACTTGCTCCCATGCTTCCTTAACAGCTACACGGAGCTGGTCGTAGGACATATGTTCTGGATGATTATCTTGTAGATAATTCTTCATAATATGCCACACCCGTTCAATTGGGTTGAGATCTGGTGAATACGGGGGCCATTCTATAGGGCAAATACCACGGGATCTCAACTCTTCATATGTTGCACCTGCTCTATGACCTGAAGCTCCATCTTGCATCAATGTAAGGCCTGGGTATAGGCGTAGCCAGCCGTGGATTAGAGGGACAGTATGAGCCATATAGGACTCAGCTCCTATTTTCCCATATTCCTTCTCCCAAAATAGTATAGGACCCTTTCCAAGACCACCTGAGAAGCAGCCCCAGAACATCCAACCTCTAGGGATTGTTAGTAAATCCTATAGTAAATAGGAGTCTCTTACCTTCTCCGTTGTACTCTATCTACAACACATGTATCATCCCACATTTCCCCTGCTTTTCGAGTAACCCATGTACGAGTATGGCGGCCTCCCGTTACCCACGTCTCGTCAGTCCAAAGTATCCTATTCCAATCATTCCGTACCCAATCCTTATGTTCAATAGCCCATGAAAGTCGCTTTTGTCAATTTGTCTCTGAGATAATAGGCTTCCGCATAGCAATCCCTTAATAATTATTAGTCTATATAGTAGTAAAGTAGAGAGGGATACTTACGTCGATTATAGCCTCTCACAGACAGAGCGCGGGTTAGGACAAGCCGTGAGCATGGAATATTAAGAATGCGTATTATATTTGTATATGGCATACGCCTATTCGTGCGAGATGAGGCTATAAACTCAATAACCTCTTGAACTTGCTCATCGGATAGGATAAGTGGCCTACCCGAACGCTTCTTCGGAGTTGGAGGGCCCTGGCAAGCATACCAAGCCTGCCGTTCTGTGCAGCCAATATAGGCTGCAATTTTTTGGAACTCCCAATCTAGGGAGCGTAGTAGTGCGCAACGAAGCCGCTCATCGCGAGTAAGATGAGGCATTGTAGTTATTGAAAGAGTATGAATTTCCTACATATAAAATACAATAGTAGGAATTTTGACGCGTTAAAAAGGTACAAACAAGCCTACGCGTACCCATGCTCCAACCCATGCCCAACCCCCGGTCATCTCATGACCCACTCACAAAACTTATGAACAACACCTCCGTATTACGTTCGAATCGGGCTACATGTATACAGTCACCTCTAGTACTCCACCCGAGCCGGATAGCTGAGACAGTAGCCCTGTGAGTGGCGTGGGCTAGAGGGATGGAGATACCGGGGGGGGATGGGAGGGAGGGGGAGGGTACTCCGTATTTAGCCCTTCGATCGATACTGTTGTGAGGTGTTGCACGTAATGGGTAATGTTACCTGGAATGATATCCAACATCCAACATCCAGGGACAGAGGAACCGACAGAGTGAAGGTACAGAGACGGAGAGAGTTGTGGGATGTTGGGGAGAGGAGAGAGTGATAGCAGTTTATGAATAAACTACCCGCGCATATTTAGTTCAAAGCCATGTCAGTAGAATAAATACACCGAGAATAAGAAAGCTTCTTTCTTACAATATCGAAGCTACAGTAGGTAAATACCATGAACTTGATATTTCCAAAAAAAGAAAGAAAAAATACCACACGTGACAATCAAAGGCTCCTAAAAAACGCACCCCGAGTCGCGCGTAAAGTGGTTAAGTTAAAGCCAGCGCGACGCGCATAACGCGTCGCCAAAAAGTGACGTCCAGTAAAGTAAATTGACAGGCATCACGAAAACCCTCAACCACCTCACCACCAAACAGGGGAAAACATACCTCCAAACCTCCAAACCTCCAAATCCAAACCACCCACAAAACGACATTAACCCACGCTCCTTCCCAACTCACACACATACACACACTACAACTCTCCATGGCCTCCTAACCCTCCATGAATCACGGCATCGGCACCCACTCAAAACGGCCCAGCAGCTATCAGCCATGGTTTTGCAAGCCGGCACCAAACGGAGTCTAAGTCTCGAGAACCTCCCTCCCCGCCCGCCGACAGCGCCGCGGGACTCCGAACCCGTCGCTGCTGCTGAGCCGCGGCCTCGACTGCTTCGACGGATTTTGTCGATGGGATTAGGGACCAAGACGCCGCCTAACGCATCGCCGAAGTCGTCTGCTGAGTCGACCATCACCACGGTCGTGTCGACGCCGTCGGATCGCTCGTTGAAGAAGGTTGGGTGGTCGATTGTGGATGAGCGCGAGGAGGAGGGGGTGTTGAATTTGAGCAGTACGAGTCTTTCGAACCAGATCTTACGTTCCTTACCGCCCTCGAGCGACCAGAAACCCCCAAAGTCGATATTGAAACCGTATAATGGCTCTATCCCCCTAAACCGGACATCGTTGAGCTTTGACAACAAATCCACAGAGCCGATCACAGACGCCGGGTTAGCGGTGATGCTGGAGTCGGTGGCGAAGCAGTTGGCGGGCGGGGATCGGATGAGTAGGGTGGACGCTTATATGTCGCTTTCGGGGGTGTTGAAGGCGACGGGGAATCTGCCGGATCCGAGGGCGTTGAGGGATAAGATGGGGTTGTTGGCGCAGTTTGTGCAGAGGGATATGACTGCGCAACTTCCGTCTGGGGCGGCTGATACGGTTTTGATCAATAATGCGTTGATATTGCTTGCGAGTCTGTTTTGGAAGACGGAGCCGCTGCCGGCCGACTTTTCGGTTTTCGTCCTCGAGCACGCCATTGCGACGTTTGAGGATCCGCAGGTTTCGAAGGATGTTGCGAAGCACCTCATGTTTGTGGTTGGACAGCAGAATTTCTCGCCGAAGATCATGACGCCCGAGCGAGCGGCGCGAGTGCTCAAGGCTACACACGAAATCGCCGAACACGTTAGGGGGAAGAGCATTGTCCTCGGACGGCTGGGGATATACAGGAAGCTTTTGAAGCAGGCGAAGCCAGCGCTGGTTGCGAATAATGATTGGCTGAAGGATATGTTTGAGGATATGCTCGTTAGCATTAAAGAAGTGCGCAGCCCAGTTATAGCATTCGGATTCGATGCTGCGCTACAGTTCGGAACGCAATTAAAGGTATCTCGGGCTGTGGTGGAGCTGTTCCAGGCACCTCACGAGAAAGGGGGGAAGTACGGAGACTATTATGCCGGCCGCCTCAATGCTGCCATCCAAACTAAGCAGGATGTGCCATCCGTGCCGCAGATCTGGAGCGTGGTCACCCTGTTCCTCCGCTCACGCCCATCCCAATTGGAGCACTGGGAATTCATGACCCCGTGGTTCCAAACCCTCCAAAAGTGCTTCAACAGCGGCGACCCCGAAGTCAAGCGCGAAGCCAACTTCGCCTGGAACAGACTCGTCTTCGCCATCCGGCCGGACGAGAAGACCAACCCCCGCTTCATCAAGATGCTCCACCAGCCGTTTATCGGGCAGCTCAACCGCAAGAATAGTAGTAAGCAGGGGAAGGAGATGTTTCAGGTTACTATTAGCAGTATCTGCAACTTGCTGTATTATACTTTGAATCCTGCCGCGTCACATGCGCAGCTGAATTTATACTGGGACTCGTACGTTATTCCGCTGATTAGGAAGCTGGCAACTACCACCGCTGAGCAAGGCGCGGATAAAGGTACACCGGGCTTGGATGGCGTCAAGCAGGCAATTGAGATCCTACGCTCGCTACTGGAGCCTTCAACACAATCATCCGCCACACCATGGAAACAAGACCGCGCCATGGCCGCCGAACTAGTGAAGCCCAGCGAGCTCCCATCCCTCGACTCAAAGTGGGTGCGCAAGAACTGCGTCCCCGTCCTAGACGTTATGGAACAGCTTTTCGAGCAGCGCTTTGCCGATCTCGGGAGGGCACAGAGCCCTGCTACGGAATTGTGGAGGAGCTTCTTGATGACTGTCGCTGCTGCGGGGGCGAAGGAGATTAAGGTCTCCAATGAGACGATGGAATGCGTAGCTCGGATCTTTACTATGCTACGCCGATTCTGGCAGAAGGGTCCTCAGCCAGCTAAGCAACGCGAAGCTTTGGATTCCGCGGCCTACCTCGATGGAATGGTGTACCTCATCACAGAGAGCGTGAGTATCCTCGGCATGCTACCATTCACCGAGAAAAAGCTCTCCATAACCGAACAAAGCGCCTTCCTCGCCGTCGCCACGCCATCCTCCCACCGCCTCCCCAAAACCATCAAATCACCACTCCAATACCTCATCCTCCTCCTCGTCGAAGCAGCATCAGACCTCCAATGCAGCACCACCTACAAAGCTGCTGTCCGCGCAACCCTAAACCCCTTCTACGAGGCCCGGACCTCGCGCACGTCACGTTTCGAGTTCTGCCAGGATCTCGTGCAGTGTCTCCCCGAAGCAGTGCGCGGGTCAGATATCTCACCTGCTGAAACAGTATGGTGCGTCCTTGCTGACATTCTCGCCGGAGCTATCAGTGAGACCGCCGAGGATGGACACAGCCACACACCTAGCTCTAGCGCGAATAAGCAGCAAGAAGGCGATGTCTTGCGCAGCATCGTCCGAGTCCTCGAGTACGGCCTCACTACTGTCGTGTTAGAGGGGATTCCGCACCTGGAAACCCTATTCCGCGCTGCGTCGAGCTATATCAGGGCAGAGGTCGGCGATGGCGGTCATGCGTTGTGCCTTGTTGATCCGCTGGCGAGGTGCCTGGGCGATCAGCTAGGCCGGACAGATGTGCGCGCCCTTGCGGGGATGTGTGCGGTGCTCGTGGGCGATGCGTGTTACCCCTTTGACGCGCAGTCGCTTGAGGCGGCGCGACGGAGGTTATGGGGCGCATCGACGAACAGTCCTAAGCCTGCTAGTACGGATCCTTATAAATACCTCTATGGCACTGTGAATATGTATTTGGAGAAGTGCTATGAGGAGTGTAGCAAAGACGCGATAGGTGCGGACGCCTTGCTGGCTGGGGTTACTGTTTTGATTGAGAGGTGTCCTGGGGCAAATTCACTGGATTTGTTTGCTGCGATTGGGAGTGGATGTGCGTGTTGGATACAAGATGTGAATGGGGCTGTGAAGTCGAGGAGTTCGACTGCAAAGGCTGTTACGTCTCTCTGGGAAGCGATCCGCTCGCAGGCATCAACTACGATCTTGGGAGTAGACAGCACCATTGCGCTCTCCAAGCTAGAAGCCCTACTATCCGCAGGCCTGAACAGCAAACGCAAACCCATCGCCAATTCCGCTATCACCCTCTGGAACACCACCTTTGGGACCCAAACCACCCTCTCTTATCCCCCCGACGTCGCAAAGGCACTAGCACGTCTCCGCCCCGTCGCTGATCTCAAACTGCCAACCTTCCCATCAACATACGACGAAGCCGCCACACCCAGCGGTCCCCAACTCCTCGACTCCGATTCAGATAGCCAAGATCTGTCATTCCGCTGCTCCAGCCGCCCGGCCAGTCGGGGGGTGACGCCTTATCTCCAATCCTCGCCCCTTGCTTCCCATAGAAAGGCGAAATCACCTCATCCCAGCATCGAGCTATCTAAATCCGCGTCCAAGAAACGATTCTCAGCCCGTGCGTCGAAACTCGCCGGGAAGAAGAAAAGAGATACCACTCCGCGACTCAGACACGACGATTCGCAGATCCAGTTCGCGGTCATCGAATCCTCGCCTACTGCTGAAGACTCGCAGCTCCTAACCGATCACCAGCGCGAGGTCAAGGAGAGGCAGCAAGAGGAAGCCGCAGCTATGTTCCCTGATCTCCGAAAGAGCCCTAGGATAAAGACGAGGCGCTCTGGGGAGAGATTAGCGCTTAGCTCTGATCTACCAGTGACCGAGGGGACGACGTGGGGGACGCCGAGTATTAGTCGTGTAGCGGAGAGGGAGGATGATTTCATCACCTCATCCCCTACGCCGAGACGGGAGACCAGTACCGAGGGCGTGCTGGGGAAGGAGGAGGAGGGGGATGTGCCGAGTTCGCCGCCGAAGGGGGAGGGGGATGAGATGGGGGGACCGTCGGCGAGTGATGACTTTTGGAATGTTACGTCGTTTGGGTCGATTGATTCGTTGTTGCTTGAGCAGCATACGATTGGGCTGCCGGAGGTGGTGGGTGGAGAGGAGGATGGGGGGAGTGACAGTTCGTCTGTATTGATGCAGGCGCTTCCTCTCCCCCACGACGTGGAACCAGCGGAGCAAGGCGAGGAAATTACGCATGAATCTACCTTCTCGGACGCACTATCTAATCTCGACGCTATCCGCGAGCGCGACGACGTGACGACAGACGAGGTCTTTGTTGACGCGCAGTCCTCGCCCCTGCTTGAGGCGCAAGTTGATTTACCCAGCACGCAGAGCAGCGGACGACGCAAGAGACGGCGCAGGAATCGTAGGGGTTCAAATGGGGATGTGAGCCGAGGGACGAGCGCTTCCGTCTATGTCGCGGATGAGAGCGTTTCACTGCCCGTCGGACAAGATGAGACCCGCGCAGAGGCAGATGCACCACCCACCACGCGCAGTCGATTCAGCCTCACTCCCTCCGCCGGGTTTGATCAAAGCGCCTACACCGCCTCCCCCCAACCCTCTCCCGCTCCCGAGCCCGAGACTAGGAAAACCCGAAAACGCCGCCTTGCTTCTCCGGCTGCGGAGAAGGAATCTACTCCCGTCGTCGAGGCACCGCGGTCGATGCGCTCGATGCGTAGTTCTGATAAGCTGACCCGCGCTGCTGTTTCTGAGGAACTAGTAGTACTACAGCAGGAGGAGGAGGAGGAGGAGGAAGGGAGTATACTCGCGCGCACGAGATCGCGTGTTAGGAAACGCGAGATCTCGAGTACCATCCCTGAAACTCCTCCAAAAGCTACGGTGACGAGGAGGAGGAAGTCACCACACGGTGGGGATGAGGATGATGAGGATGTGGTGATGAGGTCGCAGAGCGCGAAGAGACAGCGTGTTAAACAAGAGGAGGAGGAGGTAGAGGATAGCTTACTTGCCGCTAGAGATGACGCGGAGACGATAGTTGTTGATACCACGCCCCGCAGCCGCCGCTCGCGCCGCGAGAAGACCTCTACTACGAAGTGGGAGGAGAGCGAGCTTGGGCGGCGGAGGAGGAGGAGTCGCGCTGTGGTTGAGGATGATAAGGAGACGGATAGCCAGGTGATGAGGAGGAAGTCGGTGGATCTGGATTTGCATTTGGATCTCGACACCACATCTGGGGAGGTGGTGGAGGACTCGTTTGTAGGCACCGATGTGAAGGGAGAGGTGGAGGAGGATGTCAGTATGCACGGTGCCGGCGAAGGAGGAGTGACCGAGGCGCAGCGGGAGGGCGTAGCTTCCGACGACGAGGCCGAGGCGCAGATCTGGGATGGGATGGCGGAGTTGCGCAAGTCTTCTGAATCTGCTTCTGTCCCTCACCCAGTCGACGCTGCTGCTGCGGAGTCTGAAGCGGCTGAGGAATACGGTGGCGTGGTGAAGAAGGGGCTCACAGGCGCGACGGCGGTGGCGATGTTTAAGGAGCTGATGGAGGGGTTGAGGGCTGGGACGGTGTCGAGGGGGGAGGCGATGCAGATGGAGGAGATGGTGTGGGATTTTAAGGCGGAGCTTTATGCGGCTGAGAGGAGGGGGAGGGGGAGTGCTGCGTAGGGTGTTCTAATCCTGTGGGAGTCATGCATTCAGCGAAGGGATTGGGAAGGATAAGGATATAAAAATACTCGGTCATTGGGTCGAGCGGCTGGACTGAGAGGGGAGGACATACCCATACGTACAGTACATAAGCATAGCGAGCATAGCGCGGATGAAAGGGGGAAATTTGTTTTCGATGAGGGGATATGATAACTGTGTAGGCGTTTTTCTACATGGAGTACGGTTGTATGATAGGGATTGGTGGAATTGGAGATGTGGTTTATCTCGAATTGAATTGTACAGAAGTTATGACTATTCAAATCTCAGCCCTGCCCATCACAAACCCCAAGTTCCACCACCACAAAGGCATAATCCCCCCCCATCACTGCGACACCGCACAGCAGATCAAACACCCCGTCCTACCCTTCCATTGCCATTTCCATGTTTCCCGTTTCAGAGTATGCACGGATGGTTGGCTGTCAGTCGCGGCTGTGGTCAGTCAGGTGGGTTGGGTTGGCGGCCATGCCCCGCTATAACAACACCGCGGCGGTTCATCACTCACCCAACAACTTTGACATCATCTTTGAGGTCTGCTTTGACGACGATTAGGATCGAGATTCTTGCTTGCGATACTACATACACATTATTCAACGTGGTAGTAGACAGATAGGCTTGCGATTCGCCCTCGATTCGACACACCACAACTCACCCGACCCAACTCAATCAACCCCTCATATCCATCTCCAACCCAACACCACAACCACAACAATCATGCCCTCCACCCGCCCCAAGCCCAACAACCTCTCCCTCTCCGCCACCCCCGCGCAGCCCTCCGCCAGCGCAACAATCACCCACGACAACGGCCGCGTGACGGCCACGCTGCCGACGGGCGAGAGCGTCGAGGTGCTGCTGTACGGCGCGACGGTGGTGAGCTGGAAGGATAAGGGCAAGGAGAAGCTGTGGGTTAGTGAGGGTGCGGATTTGAGTGGGGGGTCGGCGGTGAGGGGGGGGGTGCCCTTGGTGTTTCCTGTGCGTATACCCAAGTCTATACCCCGCGCAATGTCTGGGAGATCAGATCGTCCGGCCTATCGATCAGTGGGAACCAGACAAGATAGATGAGAGAATCGAAGCTAACACCTCCCCCCCCCCCCAGGTCTTCGGCAAACCCACCGACCACCCCGCCACCTCCGCCCTCCCCCAACACGGCTTCGCGCGCACCTCCCGCTGGGATTTCCTCGGCAAGTCCACCACCGAATCCGACGGCAAGGGCGGCGACGGTGGGGTGAAGCTCGATTTCGGGCTCGGGCCCGAGAACCTGAGTACTGAGGCACGGGAGGCGTGGAAGGGGGAGTTCGGGCTAATTTACTCGGTTGCGCTGACGAGGGGGGGGTTGCGGACGAGTATGTTGGTTAGGAATGATGGGGGAGAGGCGTGGGAGTTTCAGGTGTTGATGCATACTTATTTGAGAGTTAAGGTTGGTGTTTCTCCTGTTCCTTTGTGATTTTGGAGGGTGTGAGTGAGGAAGGAAACTAATGAATGCAGGATATCACGACCACAACAGTTGAGGGCCTAGCAGGCGCGCCATACCACGACAAAGTCACCGCCTCCGCCGCCACCGCCCCAACCTCCCCCGCCACCCTCTCCATCACCGGCGAGACGGACCGCGTCTACACCCCCCCCTCCGTCTCGACCGCGCTCATGGTCTCCGCGAACGGCACCCCAGCCTTCGAGGTCGTGCGCGAGAACTTCGAGAACGTGGTTGTCTGGAACCCGTGGGAGGAGAAGGCGAAGGGGATCAAGGATTTCGCGCCCAAGGATGGGTGGAAGGAGATGCTGTGTGTGGAGGCGGGGCAGGTGGCGGGGTGGACGAAGTTGGAGGGGGGGGATGCCTGGGAAGGGGGGGTGACTATTAGGGCTTTGCTTTAGTTGGGGACGGGGGAGTGATGGGGGGGTTAGGTTTGAAATGCAAAAGGAGGCGGGTGGGAGGCTTGATTGTTGTGAGGGGTGGCAGGCTATTGTTTAAGTTTAATAGAGCATTGTCTGTATCATTGTTTATTCGAGATCTCTGTTTCTGTTGAGGCTACGTTTGGCAATGAATGAGTGTGAATCTATATGGCGAGGCGCAGGATACTCGTAGCTTTCACACGGCATGTCGGGATTGGGCACGAGGGAGAATGTTGGGTGTATATTTTCCTTATTTGTACACATAAATAGCAGCGCTCAGATCCAACTCCCCTTTTCGTACACCACATCCCATCCCAATCATACAGAGCATCGCGCCTTCCCATCCACCAGCCTATCATACAGCTATCCCACCCCCTACTTCCAACCCCCCAAAATCGACGAAACCCGATCCACAATGGTCTCATTCCCCTCCTCCACCCTCTTCTGCCTCTCCGCGTTCGAATCTTTATAAATATCCTTCAAATTCGCCTTCACCTCCTGCCCAGCTGACACTTCCGCCGCCAACGCCTTCTCCTGCAACTCGCGCTCGATCCCCGTCAAGCCCTCGAGCTTCTCCTTGATCTGCGCCTGGATATCAAGCGGTAATTTCGCCAACGGGCTCGTCTTCGGTATCTCCGGCGCCTGCTCCTTCGCCGCCGCCGCCTCTGCAGCAGTTACCGCAGTAACCGAACTCCCACCCTTCCCCAACAGCGGCGCGAACTTCGGCATCTCCTTCCCCTCCTTCTCCGCCTCCTGCACCGCCTTCTCCTGGGCCAACATACGGTGATACAGCGTATCAGCATGCATCTGGATCTTCTCATCCACATCTTTCCCCCTATCAAACGTACTCAGGTACCCCAGCGCCTTCAGGAACTTCTGCTGCATCTCCACGCAGCGCTCCAGACTCTTATTCTCCGTCCGACACATCGTGAGACGCGCCTTGACCCCGCCATTCGAGAAACACTCATTCACCTCCCACTGCTCCAGCGCGCAGTTCTCCAGCGCCGCGCGCCCGATCTCGGCTTTGCGGTACTTGTAGCCCTCGAGGACGTCGGCGATCTTCTCGGAGTCGGATTTCGAGGCCGCTTCGATGGCGGATTGGGGGGTGTAGGTTTTCCAGAGGTGGGCGTAGCGGTTGTCTTTGAAGAGGGTGGGAGGTGCGGTGGGGTCGGCGGGGGGAGGGGGGAGGAGGTGGTTTCAGTGGGTTGGGTGGGTTGTTGCTGCGCTTGGGGTTGTGTTGGAGTTGGTGTGGTGGGCGAGTATTGGACGGGGGATTCTTTTTTGAGGAATGCTTGCAGACTGGGGTCGAGGTTGCGGAGGGGGTCGGCGGAGGAATTCTTGTCGTCTGCGGTGGCGCCCCAGAACCAGCCCATCTTTGCGGTTTGGGAGGATTGGGTTTGTAGTGGGATTGGGGTCTTTGGTGAGGATTCTTGAGATTTCGGGAAGCTTTGAAGTTGGACCGATGATCGCTTTTCTTGGCGTTACGTTTCTGTTGTGGCCCGTGCATCGCTACTTTTAAGTCGACATCTATCGCCGCTTGTTATCACAATGTTTGAACCACTCACCGACGGCCTCGTGGCACGTGGATTTAATCTTAATGTCTTCATGAATGGAATTACCCCTCTACGTAATCCGTATATCTGGCTTCTTGCCATGATATTGGTAGGCTACTATGTATTAACATGATTCTTCGAATTAACAGGCAGTTTCTCCATCACCTCAAGCCCATCTGACACTCATGCTGCAAATATGGTTATATCAGTGGATCTAAGCTGGCATGAGCCAATTTCCTCGAATATCAACAGCCTCAGTTCAGCGATCAATGGTACAGGAATCTATGGCTTCGTTTTCAATTCTTCCACTCTACCAGAGGGGACACCATATGGTACTGTGATCCTCCTCCTATTTTCAAATTTCGGTAGCTCACAGTTTCTTAGGAACGTACAACTGGTGCAACATGCCGCATGTCCGGCGCACCGAATATCCAAAGGTGAACTCTTCGTATGCCCTCGAATATGTCGAGGTAATTCACCGACATCACAAGCGCACCCCTTACGCCTCCAATACCTTCCCCGTCGAGTCCTATCCATGGTACTGCGGCGACGAAGGCCTCTTCTACTCCGGCGCCCCCTTACCTGCCCACGGTGCCAATCAGTCTGCCAACACCTACTGGAGCGTATACACCTCGCCATCCAATCCTTTGGCACCGCGGGGATTCAACGGAACTTGTCAATTCCCACAGATCACCCGCGAAGGGCTTGACGACAGCTGGCAGCATGGCAAGGATTTGTACGGCGTCTACCACGACCTACTTGGGTTCCTCCCCATGAAATACGATCCAAATGTTGTCAGTTTCCGCGTCACGAACAATGTCATCACTTCGCAGGTCGCCAGCATGCTTGTGTCAGGCATGTTTGGCAGCAAAGAGCAGGATCTACCCTTGCTAATCCAGCCTGCGAGCATCGACAGTCTCGAGCCCGCATACAGTTGCTCAGCGGCGAGTAACAAATTCTCATCGTATGACGCCGACCCAGGCTGGACTGCTCATCTAAAGGCTGCCTCTGACCTATACGCAAATCTCGACACCATTTCTGGTGTTTCGCCTACGGATTCAAGCTTCCACATGTCCTTTGACCACTACTTTGACAATCTCTCCGCGCGACTCTGTCATGCAAAGCCGCTGCCTTGCAAGACCGGCAACCCATGTCTCTGCGTTACACAGGAGATGGCTGAGAAGGTTTTTCGTCTAGGGCAGTACGAGTACAGCTACCTTTACCGCGATGCCGGGGCACGCACGCTTGAGTATGCTGCTGCTAGTTACGGCATCTGGATTGCGGAGTTAGCGCAAAATTTGCGAGACGCGATGCATGCAACTGACTCGGCGAGTACCGATAACAAGAAGACGAGAAGTGGCATGAAATATCGCCACAACGTTGCCCACGACGGAAGCGTTAGTCGTTTATTGAGCATCTTGCAGATCGAAAAGATGGTATGGCCAGGCATGGGCAGTGAAGTGGTGTTTGAGCTGTATAAGAGCAAAAAGGACCAGCAATACTACGTCAGGGTGTTGTGGGGTGGACAAGTGCTGAAAAGTAGCAACCCGACGCTTGGTGTCTTGGATATGCTTCAGGCTGAGGTACTTGTTGCCTATTTTGACGGGCTTGTAGGTCAGGGAGCAAAGAAGATACCTAGCCTCTGTAGCTTGTAAAGGTTGAACAAGTACCTGTAGGTATGGCAATTGCATAGAATTTGACCAAGGCCGGGAGAAGAAGGTGCCAAGCTACTATATGGCAGCCTAGGCTTCGTTGACCTTACAGGTGGTCGGCGAAAGCGAAGTGCTGCCGAGTCAGAGATTTATGTATGTTCCAATGGCTGAAAATCGCAGGTCTATTACTATAATCGAGTCAATCTGTGCAATTGGACAAGTGATTCCACCAGTGATTATTATACAAGGACGACAACATATGGAGTCCTGGTATCATGAAAAGCTAAGCAGCGATGAGCTTATATTGCTCTCTGATTCTGGATATACAAATGGTGAACTGGCAATGCTTTATTTAGAGCATTTCATTAAACATTTTGATGCTGGGCCTAATAAACCATTAAAAGTCCTTCTTATGGATAGCCATATCAGTCATACAATACCCGAGTTTGTCATACGAGCAACAGCGATGAATATTCATCCATATCCGCTCCTGTCACAGCCGCTTGATGTTGGTGTTTTTCAGCCTTACAAACACTGGCACAAGAAGGCAATTCAATATGCAATGCGAAATCTTGATATTGATTACAATATTGCTTCATTTTTTCGAGACTTCAAGAAAGGCACAATTATAGGAGCATTTCGTGAAGCTGGAATGTGGCCAATAAACCCTAAAGAAGCCTTGAAAATAATGAAGGTATATACACTGTCTGAAAAGGCTCTAGACCTACTGAAAATTCCACAGACTCCGACAAAATTTGTACATTCAGAGCTCAAATTACAGCATTGGCAGGCAAAGATACCATACCTTTTGTCAAGTCCATCGGCACGAGAATGGGATTCTTGGGCGCGCAGTACTGAAAACGTCCTTGCTCAAGGAGAGTTAGCTGTTCTACAGTATGATTTACTATCTACAAAGGTTGCGAACCAGCAAAAGGCAAAGGTCAAAAGCCACAATGTTGTTCAAGCAACGTGTGATCCATTAACAGCTAAAGATGCTTGGGGAAAAATAGCTGACAAGGCTAAAAAGGAGAAGGAAACTCAAGAGCGGAAGTCATTCAGAGCACAAATAGCGTTGAATAAGGTCAAAAGGAGCTTCCTATTCGTGGTGTTGAGGCCCGCAAAGCCGAGCTTTTAAGAAAGCGGCAGGTTACCCAGTTGTTAAAAGCAAAGCAGGAGGTGCCTCCTGATTTACTTAATCCAATTCCTGATCCTGAAAAAATTGCACAGGAGTCAGAGATTCAAGAAGAAGCCAATATTCAATTGTTTCAACAATAGGGTGGTCGGGATCACAGGTAGACGACGACGATGAGACTGGATTTATAAGATTTAGTGGTTTGGATGAGGACATATTTACAGACAGGACAGAAGAGAATTTGGATTCTACATACCTTCGCCGACCACCTTACAGGTGGTCAGTGCGAACACCGACGATTAGCCATAACACCTAGCTTTCAAGGCTCAACCCTCCAATCTTCATGGTATTCGTTCCCTTCCTTCTAGCTAGATAGAAGCTTATTAGCAGTGATAGATCCCTGCATTCTGACTCTATTATGGCGCCTCGCAAGAAGGTTCCTACAATCACCGTTCTCATAGTAACCCCTTATAAGAGGACAGCAGCTTAGATGTTAGTCTCCCCTGGCTCTAAGGTAGCAATTACGCCCATTCTTCTAGGTATTTGTTGTCCTAACGTCTATGGGCCCGTTCGACCTTACCGTTCGCCTACTGTTGAGGATGGGCTAGAGGAATTAGACAACCCTAGATCTTCTAGCAACGTTCCTAAGGAGATGCATACCGTGCTTAGGTAGAAGGTTGCCACCTAATGCGTGGTCCGTGAATCTACAGGACATCTTCACGCTAGCCCTTGCCCTGCTGTGTGAAGTGCGCATACACCTATTTCAACTTCCCTAGACGATGTGTTAGACCCTAGCAGATATAGGGAAGTGTAGTGATTGCCTCTAGGGTGTCATGACACTCCTTCGATATTTGTGTCATGACCCTTCGATTCGTTTTGTGCTCGTTTCTAGTTTCTTGCTCAGGATGAGCTAATGAAGAAATGAGATTCAATCTTATGTTACGATGGTCATAGAGGTCATGATGCCAGACCAGGAAAAGTAATCTAGATTGAATCTAAAGAGAGAAGAAGAAGAAGAAGGAAGGAAGGTGAGGCTATTCCTCATAACATACAGTTGTCTGCTTAGTGGTTGTAACCTTGGTGGCTAAGGCTACACCCGTAATCCCTATAACAACCGTAATAACCATAATAACCATAACAACCGTAACAACTTTAACAACCATAACAACCGTAACAACTGTAACAACCGCAACAACCGTAACAAGCTGTGACATTCTCATGCCGTAGATTGGAATCTACGGCATGAGAATGGACCCCGCAAAAGTCCAAACTATACTTGAATGGAAAGCACCAAGGTCGCTCCAAGATACACAAGCTGTAAGGATGCCTTCTCGTCTCTCACTCTAAGGAGCAGACTCTGAGTAGCTGCGTGTCACGTGTGATCATTTGGGCGGGCTAACCGAGTCGGAGGGGTTTCGGGTACTTGAGGGAAATGACTCACGGGGTTCCCCCTTCATCTTTTTTATATCCTTCATAGTAGACCTATAGGATAGCATCCGTTTAGCCTCCGACTCACACTGTCATATGCTGGTGCCCTGTGTCCTTACATTATACAAAAAAGATCACGCCTGCCGGGGACGGCCGTACTTAAATAATATCCCACACCGGAACGACTCAGGAGAACTACCGTTACACCATCGACTGCGACTCAGTGACGTTTCGGAGGAGAGACCTGATGACTTCAAGTAGCCGTGATTCCAGAGATCTCACGGACAGCCAGTGGATCAGGGTTTGATTCTTCAGAACAAGCTGGTAAAGTCGCCAACGCGTTGGCGCCAAATAGGATACGAGATCCTTATGAACCCCCTCCTAGCACAGAGGAAATTGTGGACAAGAGCGTTGATAGCTACAAGCTACCGGAAGTCAAGCTCTTTCGTATCAGTACCGATACACACCCGAGGCAATATGTCGAAAAAGCTGACATCAAACATACCCCAAGACAACGATGGTCAACTGCCCAGAATGACTACCAGACAATCCACAGCTTCAGCTACGACCGCTGTGCCATCCGAAGACATCCCGAGTCGAATGGCCCACCTCGAAGCACAGATACAGGAGGTCAAGGATCTACTAGTTATCCTTACGGCAGCCCAGACCAGAATCCCGTCCACACCACCGGTGGACGCCCCCATACCCACAGTCGAAGCCACGGAGCAACGAACACCTCGCACACGAAACACCCCCGAGACAGTTCAATTGCCACCTCTTCAGAACACTCGTTCTCCATCGATTCCAGGGTCGTCACGAATGCACACCAAGGACCCCCCGAATCGCTATAAGAAATCAACCATCTCTGAGAAAATCCTTCCTCTCAGCGATGGGGTAGAACATACCTTCCTACAATGGTGTAAGGACAGTTCGAACCGAGGCTGACCTTCAAGTCTGCAGAAGTATCCGAAGTATAATGTGAAGACTTCGATACTCGAAGCAGTAGGACAAGGTATAGTAGTTCAGGCTCCAAAGCATATACTTTATACCACAGGGGTCAAGTGGTGAGACTAACAGGTTGGCCAAGTGGTTTGACTCGAAGTAAGGGAATGCAAAGTAAGTCGAAGCAGGAGGAATTGCAAGAAGGCCAAGTAGTATATAATTTGCTAGCTAAAGATCAATAAGAGACATGAGCAATAAGTGCTTATATAACAGTAAAAATTCCTAGTGCCAAATAAGCGAAGGCACTAATTAACTGAACCCTAGCTAAGCGAGCCCTAGTGCAGCAAGCCAATAACAAGAGAGCCTAAGCCAGTAGTCAACATTTGGTCTGATCTAGGTCAGCAAGTGAAGCGAAGTGAGCGAAGTGAGCGAAGCAGGTGAAGTGAATGACATAGTGAAATAAGTACTAGAGACTAAAGTGAATCGAAGGGTCGTGACACAAATATCGAAGGGGTGTCATGACAGACCGGCCTGGCGAAGACCTACCTAGAGCCCCATTACCTGTCCGCTACGCATGGATTCCGCAGTGCAGAGGAGATGATGGATCTACTAGGTTCATACTACCTCACAGGCAACGAGACGGAACAGGCCAGGAACCTCTTCGACGACCTGCAAATGGGAGAGAAGGGGCATGCTAGCGAAACCTTCCCAGAGTTCAAGGCTCGTTTTCAAAGTGCAGCTATCACTGGACAAGCCTCCGAGTCAGAATGGTTTCAGTACATGTGGAACAAGTTGACTCCCCAATTCCGCAGCCGCGTCGCGATCATCAAAAACCAATGGAATGGAGAATACCAGACCATGGTATGAGAACTTACCGCCTTTAATCAGGAACGGCGCCGGAACAACGAATTGAATCCGCTACCCGCTCTCGTAAGGACGTCCACACGTACCACGGATACTGCAAGGCCGTCGGCGTCGAAGCCGACTCCAGCCATATCCGCTCTGTTCACCTGAACCGCATTCCTCCCCAAGTCAGCCATACCTGAACGTGTGAGAACCGCAGTCCCTGCGCCCTCAGGAAACTGTTTCAAGTGTGGCAAGCCCGGCCATTTCCAGGACAAATGCCCCCTTAACGCTACTATCAGGGAAAGGGACCGTAACGACCCCGAGGCTGAAGAACAATGGAAAGAAGCCGTGGAACTTCAATTAGATGCGTCCCTCGAGGAAAACGACGAGGCCTAGGAGAAGGCTCCTTCCTAGGTCTACGCAAATGTGACCTGCGAGGACTAGACTTGCGAGAACTCCTGGGAGGCACCCAGTTCTTAGTCGACACAACCCTGAGTATGAATGGACTCGGGGTGCAAACGAAGTCCCTAGCAGACACAGGAGCAAATGGCTACCTCGTCATTAACAAGCCTTTCGCAATACGACTGTCGAAAGCGCTTCAGAGCCCCATACGGAAACTACCCTACTCTGTACCCATACGTGGATTTCAGCGCAAAATCCAAGGCCACGTATCGGAGTATATTCGGTTACACTTAACAGTCGAAGGACGCCGGATATATAACTGCCCCTTTGTACTCCTGGATCTCGGAGCACAAGATGTGATAATTGGGAAGAAGCTTTTCAGCCGCTTCCGAATACTACTCGACTCTGCAAAGAGCCGGTTAGTATGGCCAAAGGAGTACCTGCCGACTCCTAGTTGGAGCAAGGAGATCACCCTGCCCTATCACTCACGCGAAACGTCCATTAAACATCCTGCATACCAGTCGGATGCGAATCGCTGGGATTCCGCAATCCACCGCGAAGACAGACGCCACGCAGGCGGACGCTCGATGGAAATGAAAGTGATAAATTCCGACTACGAAGAGATCACTGATACGCCATCGAACCCACTACGAAACCAGGAGGTTTCTCCCCCACTGCAGAAAACCCTAGTACATAGGTTTACGCCCATGCATATATGCGAAATCAGTGCAAATGCTTTCCACCACGAGATGATGCGAAGCGACTCCGAGTTTTTTTCAGACTAGCATCTACGAAATCGATCAGATCATTCATGAAAAGGAGTTGGTAGAGGACGAATAAATGCTCCGCCTCATCCAGCAGAAGCTTCCGCATATGCACCGGAAGTACACCGATGTCTTTTCGAAGTTGGAATCAGATTGAATCCCCCCCCACTGCATATACGACCACAAGATACAGCTCGAAGCCCCTTTACCAAACGCTTTCTCGCCGTTATATCGACAGGGCACCGAAGAGCTTAAGGCTACCAAGCAATATCTGTTAGAGAACCTAGAGAAAGGCTTCATCGTCAACAGCAACAGCCCCTTTGCGTCCCCTATCCTACTCGTAAAGAAAGCGGATGGCGAATTAAGATTTTGCATTGATTACCGGAAGTTAAATGGCCTCACCCGGAATGATACCTACCCCATCCCGCGTATCGACGAACTACTAGGACGGGTGTGGAAAGCAAAAATCTTCACGAAGCTAGATATCAGACAATCCTTCCATTGCATACGGATGCACCCCGACTCGGAAGAGTACACGACCTTTCGGACTCGCTATGGATCCTATAAGTGCAAAGTGCTGCCATTTGGACTGACGAACGGTCCCGCAACCTATCAGCGGTATATGAATGACGTCCTGACGCAATACTTAGACGACTTCTGTACCGCATACTTAGACGACATCCTAATCTATTCAGAGGACCCTACGGAACACATAGAGCATGTGCATAAGGTCCTACAGCGTCTCCGAGAAGCTGGACTCCAAGCCGATTGGAACAAATGCGAGTTCAACATCACCAGGACAAAATACTTGGGTTATGTTCTCACTACCTCCAGTGTTGAAGCTGACCCTGACAAAATCGAACCCCTTCGTAACTGGATCCGACCGACCACTGTTACGGTTGTGAAGTCCTACCTGGGATTCTGTGGCTTCTATAGACAATTCATTCGTAATTTTGGCAAAATAGCAAAGCCCCTCACCACCATCACTAGTCCCTCGGAGCCGTTCCAGTGGACAGACGAATGTGAGGATGCATTCGAGGAATTGCGACGACAACTTTTAGCGGTACAGGCACTTCACCACTTCAACCCCGAATTGCCTACGAAGCTGGAGACCGACTCCTCTGATGGAGTGGTAGCTGGTGTCCTGTCTCAAGAACACCCTGACAAGCGATGGTACCCCGTAAGCTTCTACAGTCACGTCCTATCCGGACATGAGATCAACTGGGAGATCCACAACAAGGAACTATTCTCAATCGTGAAAGCCTTTGGAAAATGGAGGCCCGAGTTGGCTTCGGTACGCCACCGAGTTGACGTCTACACTGATGACCATTCGTTGGAATATTTCATGTCTACCAAGATTCTCACAGCGAAACAGGTTCGGTGGATGGAGCTACTCTCCGACTTCAATTTCTGCATCATGTACACCGTAGGCAAGAATAATCAGAAGGATGATATTCTGAGCCGAAGAGACCAAGACCTGGTAACGCAACAGAAAGTCAAACTCGACAGTAGAGCGAGGGTATTGCTAGGCCCAAGCCGCTTACACCACCGTATCAGCGCTGAAGTAGCAGAGAGCTACGTGGCGTCCATTAACCTGATAGACACCCCCAAGGCACAGGTGCCCTTCAATTTAATAGAGGCGCTATGTGTGGACAATCGGAAGTCGTTCACTGAGACTCGCGCGAAACAACCCCTACCGGACGGATTCGCGATGAACGACCAGCTCCTCTAGTACAAAGGCCGCCTATGTGTGAATGGCCACACCGACCTATGTACGAAACTGATCTGAGAAGCGCACGATCAAGTGTCGTCAGCACATCCAAGTGGTAGGAAATCCTACCAATTGCTCCCTCTAAAGTATCATCGGGTCGGGATGGAAGCGGATTGTTTGCGGTATGTACGAAACTGCGTAACATGCCGGTTTTCTCACACCAACGTCACTAAGTAACAAGGATTCCTACACCCACTACCCGTACCTGAATATCCTATGCAACACCTCACCATGGATGCAAAGGAAAACATGGCAAAGGCACAAGAGGAAATGTCTAAGCACGAGAATCGACTCCGAAGGGCCATCGACTGGGACGTAGGAGATAGAGTGTACCTATCGACCAAAAATTTGAAAAACTCTCGTCCTAGCCGCAAGTTGGGCCAACAATGGGTCGGACCATATACGGTGTTGGAACGGATTGGGCACGCATTTCGATTGGAATTACCTACCGGTTCTCAAATACACGATGTGTTCTCACCAGACGTCCTCATGAAGGATCCGAACAACCCCCTACCTGGTCAGGATCCGCCGGAGCCTAGCAGCGAATTGATAGATGGTGTAGAGGAATGGGAAGTGGAAAAGATCCTTGCCGTAAGGCTCCACCGGACGCAACTACAATACCGGGTTAGTTGGGTAGGATACGATCCGGACCCAGAGTCGTACCCAGCATCGAACTTCATGAACTCTCCCCATAAACTTAGAGAGTTTCATACGGAATACCCAGATTTACCAGGTCCACCTCAAGAACTACTCGGATGGGTTTCGGCATGGAAGGCGGGCGAGGAACAAAACTACGATCACGGGAGGGACGACAAAGCGGAAGAAACAGAGTCGTTGCTATCTACGACTCTAACTACCCTCTGATCCAGGGCGCACTCACCACCGTACCGTAACCCTTGCGGGAGCCACCCTTCCCAAACGTCTCACCGGCGTCGCAACAAGCGGCTACCACCATGAGAGACGAAGGGTCGAAGCGACCCCATGCGAAGAGTCAGGTCTGAGCCCCCTCGACCCCACGCGAAGAGTCGGGTCTGAGCCCCCTCAGACACAAACCCCCTCCCCCCCCTTCTCACTCCCCATATTCTGCACCAAAGGTGCCCTCCCCCTCCCCCTCCCCCTCCCCCTCCCCCTCCTTCCTCCGACTAGTACATAATATCCATGATATCCAATGTTATGCGTGATGGATAACATTGGATATCATGGATATTATGTTATCCATGTTATCCATGGATATCCCTTTGGCACGACACAAAAGAAAGAGGTGTTTGAGGAATTCTTTCTCACATATAACGCCCTTATTACAAAACATAACATTAAGCCATATAATTTATGGAATATTGATGAGACAGGCTATATGATTGGGTGTTATAAGTCTACAGCTGTTATTGTACCAATCGGTGTAAAGCAGTGGACTGTTGATAATCCTGAGAATCGGCTCTCTGTTACTGTAATTGAGGCAGTAAATGCCAGTGGTGCTGCACTTGCAGAAGCTATCATTATCCCTGGCAAACTTCATATGGATTCATGGTACAATGATGACCTTGAGTCAAATGCTCTCATTATTGTAAATGAGAGCGGGTATTCAAACGACGACATTGCAATCCAATACCTTATGCATTTTATCCAACTCTCTGCAGAACATATGGCACCAGATGATACTCGCCTCTTATTACTTGACGGCCATGACTCTCATAAAACAGAGCGCTTTCTTACATTAGCAGAAGAGCATAACATTGTTATTTGCTGCCTTCCTACTCAAACAACACATCTATTACAACCTCTTGATGTAGCGGTTTTTAAGCAGTGCAAACACTTTCGTCAAAAGGCACTTAATCAAGCAGTACGTAGCTACGACTATGAGTATAAGCTACGTACGTTCCTTTCAGACCTCCCGCAAATCCGACGGCAATCTCTAACTGTCCGTACAATTCAATCTAGTTGGAGAAATGCAGGACTATATCCATATAATCCTCCACTTGTAATTGACAAGATACAAGGGACTCGGAATCAAACACCTGATTATGAGCCATTTGCTTCATATAATATTATCTCAACACCGAAAACAACTATGCAAAGTGTGCAAGCGGTTGAACATTGGCAGAAGAGAGCAGAGGAAGCTTTCTCATCGCCTTCAAGAGAAGGGTTTCAATCATTTGCACGTGGAACTACAGTTGTTCTACACCGGGCAGAGCTCTATATGACTGAGCTAGATATTATGACTTTACGTGCAGTAGAGCAGAAGGCAGCAAAGGCAAGGGCATGGAAATCACTACAGAAAGGAGGGCAGTTATATGCATCAGATGCACGGAAAATGCGGGAAGAGAAGGAAGCAAAGTTGCAAGCAAAAGCAGACGCAAGAGCAGCAAGGGAATCAGACCAAGTAGTAAAGCAGCTACAAGCGCAAGCACGTAAAATCTAAATTGAAGCGTAAGGTTGAGAGGAAGCGGGTAGCAGAGCGGAAGAAGGAAGGGTTGAAATCAAAAGTGATAATTTTACGGTATAGTAAGGATCAAGTGATATTAGTAGCGATAGTGGCAGTAGCGATAGTGATAGTAGCTCTATTGATTTTATGTTTTAATTATATAGTTATATAGTTGCTATATAAGGCGTCTTTTTCTTCGTTTTATGTGTCGCACATCTTGCTGTCGCCACCTACGAGCGAAGCGGGTGGGTGGAACACCGAGTATAAAAAAAAACAACTCGAAAATCGCTCTAGATCGCACACCATCATCTATCTATCCATCATATATATACCCACCCCACCCCACCCCATCACCCACCCAACCGCAGAAAAGCCTCTCGACATCAAACCCCCTAATCCCCATCCCAAGAAGCCTCTCCACATGACTACAAACGCTATATGCAAGGGATAAACGAAAGTCTCTCGACATCAGTGCTGGAAAGTCTCTCGACGTCACAAATATTGCCCCCCGTCCCGTTTCCTGTCCCATGCCCATGTCCATACCCATGCACCATACCATGTAACCGTTCCATATACCGTTCCCAATGCCATTTGTCCGTTTGCCCGGGCGCTGTTAAAGTCTCTCGACATCAAAAATGCATTACCTTCACCTCATCCCAACCACCACCACAACACACCCACAGTCACAGCGTACCACAGCACGCAACCCACTTACACAACCCACTCCCAAAACTTCCCCCACATTGTCGTCGGCGCAATACTCTCCCACTCCTCATCCTCGCACGCCAAGCTGCCCGTCAGAATATCCGCCTCAGCAGACCTAACCCACTTGGACCTCGTGATAATCTTGTGGCCCGCAAACAGCACCGCGAAGAGAATCAAGCTCACATACGCCACGAAGAACTGCGTCACATCCCATGGCATAAACGCCGTGAAGCCCTGCGTGATGCAGATCAGCACGTTGAAGAACAGACCGTACCACGCGTACCACGGCTGCCACGGCGCGCGGTACGGGAGCGTGTCGCGCGACACGCCCTGCGCCTTCAGCGCGCGCATGAAGCAGATGTGTGACAAGCCGATGCTGGCCCACGTGATGAAACCCGCGACGGCGCTGATGTTGAGGAGCCACCCGAAGACGGTCGATGCGCCCGAGGAGAGGTTGAGGAAGGCAAGGAAGCCGAATACGGAGGTGAAGATGACGGCGTAGTAGGGGACGCCGCGGGCGGAGGCACGGGTGAAAAATTTCGGGGCCGAGCCGTCGTGCGCGAGCCCGACGAGGATACGCGAGCCGGAGTAGACGTTGGAGTTTGCGGCGGAGAGGACGACGAAGAGGAGGACGGCGTTGATGATGCCTGGGAGGACCTTGACGCCGGCTAGATCGGCAGCAATGACGAAGGGCGAGGCGGTGGCGTCGGATGCGGAGGACATCAGGCGCTCATTGGTGTAGGGCACCAGCAGGCCGATGAAGAAGACAGTGAAGACGAAGAAGAAGAGGATACGCCAGAAGGTCTTGCGGATCGCGGACGGCACGTTCTTGCGTGGGTTCTCGGTCTCGCCGGCTGCGATACCCACGAGTTCCGTGCCCTGGTATGAGAAACCGGCTTGCACGAGCACGGCCCAGAAGCCGACGAACTTGGATACGGGGTTCGTCTCTGGGAGGATGTACGAGGCGAAAGCGCCGGGGTCTTTCCAGTACCTGAAGCCGAGGTAGCCCTCCTTGCCGGCGCCGGCATCGATGCAGATGCCGAAGATGAGGAAGCCGATGACGGTGATGACCTTGACCATGGAGAACCAGAACTCGAACTCGCCGTAGAAACTGACGGGCATCATGTTACAGGCAACGATGAAGACCCAGAAGACGGCGATGAATATACCGATCGAGAGGGAGGGGTCCCAGTACTGGATGATGAGTCCCGTCACGTTCAGCTCCAGCGCGAACGTGATAGCCCACGAGAAGAAGTAGATCCAGCCCATGGCGAAACCGATGCTCGGGTCTACGAAGCGAGTGGCATATGCCGTGAAAGCACCGGAGATGGGGATGTGTGTGGCTAGCTCGCCGAGTGACATCATGACGCTGTACACAACCGTGCCGACGAAGATGTATGCGATGAGTGCGCCTGCTGGTCCTGACTTTGCGATGGCTCCACCGCTACCAATAAAGAGGCCTGTTCCAATTGTTCCTCCTGTTCAGTATTAGCCTTGATCAAGAAATATGAGTAAGGAGCAATGGACATGGCATTCTTCAAGAAAGGGGAGGAAGGAGCAATAGGCATAGGGTTGACCGGTGATGAGGAGTAAGGAGCAATGGATATGTCATTCCCTGTTAAGAACGAGTGTGCGAGGAAGGAGCAATGGGTACTACACTCCTCGGGAAAGAGCGGCTATGTATCGCAAAATCATGAACATACCAATAGCAATCATCTGCAGATGCCTCGCCTTCAGCCTCCTCTGCAGCTTCGGCGCCGAAACCTGCTCCTGCAGTTCATGCTTCTCATCATCCCCCAAGTGTATGGACGGGCTGGTCTTGATGTCCGTGGAGGCCTTGTGGTGCGAGGTGGAGGTCACCTCGGCGATGGATTCGGGACCATCATGCATCGTGATGGTGCCAGAGTGGACGAAGGGGTGTAGAGGTCACAGCGGCTGTGATTCGAGCGATGAGGGGTGTGACGAGCAGGGAATTCGGAGATGGAAGGGAGGACTCAATACACGCCCTCTGGAGGCAGGAGGAGATCCGCGATCGGTGGTGGGCAGCGTCGGATGGTGGTTTAAGTCGTGTGAGCAGACTCTCCGCTGTCAGCGGCGATCGGAGGGTCAGGGGTAGTAAGGGGGAAGCGGAGGAGAGAGGAGGAGAGAGGAGGAGAGAGGAGGAGAGAGGAGGAGGGAGGGGGGAGGGGGGAGGAGGAGGTTGTTTGAGGGGAAGGCGTGGGAGGGAGGAGCCAATTGCACCAAAGCATGATGGAGCGGGAAGGGAAGAGTTTTGTCACCAGAGATTAGAGGGCAAATCTGGGGAAGTTGAGGGGGGCTAGTAGGAGTTTGGGTTAGTGGGGGAGACGGGTGGGTGGCGGTGGTGGGTGGAGAAAAACCCGATCTGAGGTAATCGCGTGGTCATAGCGGCGAGGGGTAATTCCGGTGCGATGAGATTAGATCGTGGGATATGGTTGGGGAGAGATATGGAGATGGGATGGGGATGGGGGAAGATTGGATAATCACGTGAAACATGAACCTGTGCATCTCCATCTCTCGTATCATTCCCAACTTCGCACCAGATCACCAACGTCAGTGTCAAGATCCGCATTACGAGGCAGAGCCCACCGCGAGCACGTTGTTTTGTCTCATCGCCGGCTCGCATTTGTCTCATCGCCAGCTCGCATTGGTCTGATGTTGACAGTCTCAGTTGTCCATGTCTCACCCACGCACACGACGGCCAGGTGTGCACCATGCATGTGCTTCTCTTCTTCACCTCTTCGCTTCTTCGCTTCCACGCATCTCTGCCCTTCCTTTCGTCCCTGTCTCATCCCATCCTACTATCTGATATACCGCCGTGCCCTGGTGTATCTCGCCGAAACCATCATGGTCACCCTTGCCTGTCGTCGGCATCCCACGCCGCTACAGTCCCGCTGGCCACCCGCTGCTGCCAACTGCCGCTGACCGACCTGACCAACCCCTCAATCACCCCCCTCCAACCCCTTCGAGCCACTCCAATACCCTCCTTCATATCACACATACGTACCTGCCTACCCTATCACCGATCTCCCCCCACGAGCCTCACCCTCCCTTTCGCCGCTGTCGTCCCTCCTTGGCCACGCCCCCGTCCCAGAAGACGAAAACATTCTGTTCTTCTGGCCTTCCACTCTCGGTATCATGTCTCGGATGATATCATGGGGATTATGGAGACACGGGCATGCCGGAGCTCGGCAGTGCGTGACCCCTGCCACGAGACGTTGGCAGACCACCCTCAGCACCCTCAGCAGCCTCACCATCCTCAGCAACCCTCACACTCCACCTCCCCCCTCTCATCTGCCCTCTAGCTATCTAACCAAATCAACTTCCCAATCAAGAAGCCCGCTCTTCATATCCTCCGCTGCCGGCCTCTGGCCAAGATCGACCACGCCGCCAGATCGACATGACTGACCCTCAGGGCATGTCGCCATCACAATACGCACATCACGTCCATCACGGAACTACATCCGAATACGGAGTTGTCACTTTGCCTCCCCTAATGGTTCACCGTCCTTAGCTCCCGTGAGCCCAATCTCGCAAGATCGGGTCGTGGCCTGTTCCTGGCGAAACTTCTATAAAGCTCAGCGGATATCCCGCCTCCAGTCTTACCATCATCCTCATCCACATCTCTTCGTCACATCACCTGTCCTCCACCGAACATCATGAAGTTCTCCCAGAGTCTCATTGCCCTCGCGGCCTGCTTCCTGCCTCTCATCGCCGCTGCTCCTGAGGAGGCACAGCACGCCAAGATCCGCAGCCCTGGAGCCCAGGATATCATCCTAGACAGCTACATAGTTGTCTTCAACAAGGGCGTCAACGATGCCGATATTGAGTCCGAGTTTGCCTCCGTCAGCCACATCCTGAGCAAGCGCAGACCTGCCCACAAGGGTGTTGGCCACAAGTACAACATCACTGGCTTCAAGGGCTACCAGATCGAGACCGACACTGGTAGCATCGGTGAGATCGCCGCGTCGCCTCTGGTAAGTGACGACACCCAGTTCCAAACCCCACGTTCTGCACATCACTAACGAGCATCAGGTCGCGTGGATTGAAAGGGACGGAAAGGTCCAAGCTAATGCTCTCGAGACCCGCTCTGGTGCTACATGGGGCCTCGGCCGCATCTCCCACAAGGCGACTGGCTCTAACAGCTACGTCTACGACAGCTCCGCTGGCTCGGGATCAACCGTCTACGTTGTTGACAGCGGCATCTACATTGAGCACTCGGTGAGTCCCCCTTCACGCTTACCCGCATTGAAAATTCCAACTGACACCTACCACAGGAGTTCGAGGGCCGTGCCAAATGGGGCGCAAACTACATTTCGGGCTCCCCGGACACTGATGAGAACGGACACGGCACTCACTGTGCCGGCACCATCGCTGGCGCCACTTACGGTGTTGCCAGCAAGGCGAACCTAGTCGCCGTCAAGGTCCTCGACGGTGATGGATCCGGCTCCAACTCTGGCGTCATTGCCGGCATCAATTTTGTTGGCCAGAACGGCAAGGATGGCAAGTCTGTCCTCTCCATGTCGCTCGGCGGCTCCTACTCCGCTGCCCTCAACTCTGCTGTCGAATCCACCATCTCCAATGGCGTCACCGTCGTCGTCGCTGCCGGTAACGACGGTGCCGATGCCTCCAACTACTCGCCCGCCTCTGCCAAGAATGCCATCACCGTCGGTGCCGTCGATAGCACCGACACCCGCGCTGACTTCTCCAACTACGGCTCCGTCCTTGATGTCTTTGCCCCAGGTGTTGACGTGAAGTCCGCATGGATCGGCAGCAAGTCCGCCTCCAACACCATCTCCGGAACCTCCATGGCCACCCCCCATGTCGCCGGTCTTGCCGCCTACCTCATCGGCCTTGGTGGACTTAGCTCCCCAGCCGCCGTCGCTTCCAAGATCGCGTCCATCGGTATCCAGGGCTCCGTCAAGGACCCCAAGGGAAGCGTCAACCTCATTGCCTACAACGGCAACGGTGCTTAAATTTCTCGCTTTTTTGTGAGTTGAGATGATGGTGGAGGGATGAGGATTTATGGATCATGAATTTATGGGGGAGGGAGAGGGATGTATCTTCTAAACTATATATTGGTTAGGGGGGATTGTTTGGATAGCTTAGCTAGCTAGTTGGTGGGGTGTGGAGGTTGTGGTAGAATTCAATAAATGTGTTTCACCCTACTAACGTAGTTGGTATAACGAGTGGCCACCTCCACCACCAATTTTACTACTTCTACATTGCACAGTACTTTTCTCCACGAAAGAAGATAGAAACGTCTTCAATTGAAAGTCGCATTATCCTTGCGCAGCTACAACTTACAATGTCCTCGTACAACCCTTCGTTGCCGACGCGCCGGGCAAGACTCACGACGCGATATCTCCGCCAACTTAAGAAAGTTGACCGACCTAGAAGAGAGGGTGCCGCTTAATCGGATACTCGACCTAGATTTGCGAGGATTTCAGCCCCGTCTTGAAGACGTTCGAGAAATGGCCGATCGCCTTCGTACGGATCGCGAACGCGTCGCGAGTTGGACCACGATGGGCAGAGAACTTTGTTAAGCGTTATCCCGAGCTTACTACGCGTTTTCGACGTCGAATCGACTATCAGAGGGCCCAATGCGAAGATCCAGACGTGGTAAACGCGTGGTTTCGGCTCGTACGGAATATAATTGCTAAGTACGGTATCTAGGAGGCAGACATCTATAATTTCGACGAGACCGGGTTTCTAATAGGCATGCTCTCGAGCGCAAAGGTTGTTACAAGCTCCGAACGAAGTTCTCGGCCTCATACGAAGCAGCTAGGCAATCGAGAGCTTGTTACAGTAATCTAGGGAGTATGTGCGACTGGCTACTCGGTGTTCCACCCACTCGCTTTGCTCGTAGGTGGCGACAGCGATCTGTGCACGCGACAGCGATATGTGCAACACACAAAATGAAAGAAATAAGCCTCATATAGCAACTATGTAACTATATAATTAAATAATAAAATCAATAGAGCTACTATCACTATCTCCACTACTACTGTCGCTACTAATCTCAATGTTACTATCACTATGATCCTTACCATACCGTAAAATTTGAAGAGCGAAGGGTTGAGAGGAAGAGGGTAGCAGAGCGGAAGAAGGTTGGGTTAAAATCCAAAGTGAAATTTTCCGTTGTTGCACCTGTAGCTGCTTTACTACTTGCTTTGATTCCTTTGCTACTCTTGCCTCTGCCTTTGCTTGTAATTTTGCTTCCTTCTCCTCACGTAACAGTCGGGCGTCTGATGCATATAACTGCCCCCCCTTCTGTAGCGATTTCCGTGCCCTTGCCTTTGCTGTTTTCTGCTCTGCTGACCGTAAGGTAACAATGTCAAGCTCGGTCTTATAGAGCTCAGCCCGATGTAAAACAACTGTAGTTCCACGTGCAAATGATTGAAACCCTTCTCTTGACGGTGATGAGAAAGCTGCCTCTACTCTCTTCTGCCAATGTTTAACTGCCTGTATAGTTTGCACACTAGTTTTTGGAGTTGAGATAAGGTCGTACGAAGCAAATGGCTCATAGTCTGGTGTTTGATTCCGGGTCTCTTGTATTTTATCAATTACTAGTGGAGGATTATATGGATATAGTCCTGCATTTCTCCAACCTGATTGAATTGTCCGGACAGTTAAGGATTGTCGTCGGATTTGTGGAAGGTCGGAAAGGAACGTACGTAGCTTATACTCATAGTCATAGCTACGTACTGCTTGATCAAGTGCCTTTTGATGGAAGTGTTTGCACTGCTTAAAAACTGCTACACCAAGAGGTTGTAGTAGATGCGTAGTATGAGCAGGAAGGCAGCAAATAACAATGTTATGCTCTTCTGCTAATGTGAGAAAGCGCTCCATTTTATGAGAGTCATGGCCGTCGAGTAATAGGAGGCGGGTGTCGTCTGGTGCCATATGCTCTGCAGATAGTTGAATAAAATGCATGAGGTATTGAATTGCAATGTCGTCGTTTGAATACCCACTCTCATTAACGATAACAAGAGCATTTGGCTCAAGGTTATCATTATACCATGAGTCCATATGAAGTTTCCCCGGAATGATAATGGCTTCTGCAATTGCTGTACCACTTGCATTTACTCCCTCAATCACAGTAACAGAGAGCCGATTCTCAGGATTATCAACAGTCCATTGCTTTACGCCAATCGGCACAATAACAGCTGTAGATTTATAACATCCAATCATGTAGCCAGTCTCGTCAACATTCCATAAGTTATATGGCTTAATGTTGTGTTTTGTAATAAGTGCGTTATATGTAAGGAAAAATTCCTCAAACACCTCTTTCTTTTGTGCCTGCTTTCTATGCGTATTTAAAGTCTTCGTATGAATCGAGTGGAATTCAGGGTGTGCCTTAAGGAAGCGTTGTAACCACCGTTGCGATGGGATCGTACGATCGGGTCGCAAGTCTGCAACAGCCCGTAAAACCATTGATCGGTTTGCAGGGACCCCACGCTTAAGTTGGTCATATATAAATTGACAAACTGCAGTATCTTGTTCTTGAGATAAAACTCGGTTTTGACCCCCGCGGGGAAGGAGAGGGGTAGTAATGTGTCGTCGGAGTGTCTCATGGTTGACATTAAACTTGCGGGCAACCCAAGTAATTGTATAAGTATCTGGTTGTTTCAAGTAGAACTGCCGGGCCTCAATAAGACGGTCAGCTCGACTTGGATCGCTATTCAAAGGCATCGTAGAGGGTTGTTGTTACGACAAATATTATTATTTCATCTATGTATCAAAGTGGCGGTGTACATGCACATATCGCTGTCGCGTGCACAGATCGCTGTCGCCACCTACGAGCGAAGCGAGAGGGTGGAACACCGAGTAGACGCTGCCTCCATATATAGTTGTGAAGGGCAAATTCCACCTTACACCTTGGTATTAGAACGGCCAATTCTCGAGCGATTGGAGGATCCATACAAGTACTAATCGTCGGGACCGCCTGTTCGCTTCACTCACAGTCGGATCAAGCAAGTGTCCCCCTACAACTAAGTGTCCCCTCTTAGGGCAAAATAAGTAGGTACCTGTACATAGAGAAACATATAGAGAGGTACTTCTTCTCATTTATTCTATAATGTAAAAAGTACACTTTCATCATCACTTCCCTCTGAACTATCACTAGCCATCTGCAATCTCTATTCCTTCTACTTCCTCTGCTGCCTTTGCTCTTGCCTCTATCTCTAGATCTAGAATAGGGTCAAGAGCTCAATTAGTATAAACTCTTTTGCCTAAGTAAGCCTGGTAACCTCCTTCTTCCTCTCTCTCTCTCTCTTCCGTGCTTCTACACCTGCTTGATGAAGAGCTTTCTTTGCTTATGATGCCTCTGCTTTTGCTATTCTAGCAACTTGCTTCTCTTGTTTATCAACCTCCTTTTGTGCCTTCTGTTGAATTGTAGCATGTGCATGAGCAGCAGTAAAGCACCTCTAAATTGTAGTGTACGGTGGCTTTTGCTTTTGTGATTCTAACTCTGTTAAACCCGTCCCTATAGCATAGAGAAGTCAAACTCTCGTATCTATACATCTACTAAAACCTCTTCATTCCCTTGATTAATGTATGAAATTCATGCTTTGATGGGCTACTTAATAGAGGTGTAAACTTGTCTTTTTATGCTTAGAGTTGATTCTTAGAGCTCTTTAAAGTTGGTAAAAGCTTCCTTCATCTTCTTAAGTGTTAGTTGGTTTTGAGTATTTCTAAATCTTCTGTAGAGATATAGCACTATCTCTACGCCATATTCCTGCCTTCCGAAATGCATGGATAATTGTTTAAGGTTTGAAGGTATTTGCTCTAATTGTTAGTAAATCACGTAGGAAAGAAGAGAGGTCATATTGTAGATCAAGATTCCATATTACTGTTTAGACTGCAACTTTATGCCAATGCTTGTATGGCTGAAATATCCCAACATTAAGAGGTTGTAGAATATGAGTAAGATGAGAAGGGAAGGTAAATGGGTAGATGTTATGCTTCCCTACCTCCTACCACTTCACCTTCTTCCTCCCTACTGTTACGATGGTCATAGAGATCATGGTGCCAGTCCAGGAAAAGTAATCTAGATTGAATCTAAAGAGAGAAGAAGAAGAAGAAGGAAGGAAGGTGAGGCTATTCCTCATAACATACAGTTGTCTGCTTAGCGGTTGCAACCTTGTGGCTAAGGCTACACCCATAATCCCCATAACAACTGTAATAACCGTAATAACCGTAACAACCGTAACAACCATAACAACCATAACAACCGTAACAAGCTGTGACAAGCTGTGAGCTGTAATCGTAACACTACCCCCCCCCTAGTAAGATTGATCTCCTGATCAAGAGTAAGATCATCGTGGTTTCTGCGGGTATTTTCGGTGGAAAGCTTGTGTGGGTTCAGGTGCATTGTTAAAGTTTGTAGCAGGATACCAAGTGTTGTCTAGTGGGCGGTTCTTTCATGCTGCCATATAGAACAGCTTCTTCCATAGGAGTTTAGAATCTAGGATTTCTTCAACTTCCCATTTAAGTTCATCTTCTATAATGATTGGCAGGGGTGGTTCATGGTGCTGGCCTAGTAAAGCATCATCTGAGTCAAGTCGTAAGAGGTTGCTATGAAACACAGGGTGTATCTTCATGCTTGGTGGTAGCTGGAGTCGGTATGCAACATTCCCAATTCGCTCAAGGATTTGAAATGGACCAACTTGCTTATGGTCAAGTTTCTTTGAGGGTCGTTGGGTTTTGATATTCCGAGTAGAAAGCCAGACTCGGTCTCCTATCTTATATCTTGGTGCTGGCTTCCTGTTTTGATTTGCAAAGTGCTCCATTCGGGTTTGTGAGAGGGCGATCTGGTCTTGTAGGAATTCCCAAATATCTTTCATGTTTTGAGCTATGTCCTTATGTTCTTGAAGGGCAGTTTGGAACGTGCTATCCTCTATATCAAAGCCCATTCTTGGCTCGAAACCCTTGTTTGCAAAAAATGGGCTAACTTTTGTTGAGTCTGATGGAAGGGCATTTGCTGCGAATTCAGCCATGCAAAGATATTCAACCCAGTTGTCTTGGAGATAGTTGACATGAGCCCGTAAATATCGCTCGAGTTCTGCATTAAACCTTTCAGTTTGCCCGTCCGTTTCTGGGTGGAAGGCTGTAGACAATTTG